TGGTATGGAATTGAATGATGTTCAAGTTCACATCAAATTTGGATTGAAAAATCTAATCTCAAAAAAGTTATGTTCAAAACGAACCGTGTAACTAGCGCCCTCTATGAGAGTCAGATATAAAAACAAATGCATGCGATGTGTCAGATTCCGAGAAACATCCATACAACATTTTATCACAATGTTGCCAGTAGTTTCAACATAATAATGTCATTTTTGGTGTCTGAAATGTTGAAATGTTTCATGAAGGTAAGTATCTGATTCAAAAGATGGAACGTTTCAGGCGAAATATTATTGGTTTCAGAAACGTTCCTGACACATACCTAATGGGGTACGATGAATGTTGTAAACAAACTCATGTTCGTTTTTTTCAAGTTTATTATAAGGAATTTATGTTATTACACTTATCCATGTTCTCTATAAACAGAATGAACAATATTCATTACGTCATCGACGATTTATGTTGATAAAACATGATGAGACCAAAAAGTCCTACTAGTTAGAGAGCTGGCTGCAGATTTCAATACCGTCATCTGATAACGAAATGATTCATGTCCCAAAAGAAAGTGAAAAGATTGTAGTTCATCGAACAGCACCTGATGTGCCAATCACTATCCTGAGAAAAATGATTGAAAAATTGCACTTTCCTGTGCGGAAATTTGCACTCGATTTCACGATTTGATAACGAGATGATAATTATGCCATCCGATACCAATTGAATGGTAGATCTCAAAAATCTACTTGTGCTACACCCCTAGGTCCGAGCCGTCATGTGAAAGCAAATGAAAGATAATATCCGATGGACCAGGGTGCTCACAGTACAAGTATTCTAATCCATGTGTTGAGTTTTACACTGGTCCATCGGATATAATCTTCAGCGGAGGCGAAATATTGTCGAAAGTTTTGACATCACCTCCTTTTATTTGCTTCTTGTTTCAACTTGGTGTCATATGACGGAAGTATGTCCGGACTAATAGCAGCAAATCAATCCACGATTTGGCTCAGACTGAGGGGAGACACAGTTAGGTTTTTGAAATCAACCATTCAATTGGTATCTGATGGCATGATAGGTTCAAATCAAATCGCGAAATCGAGTGCCAATTTCAGCATAGGAAAGTGCAATTTTCAATCATTTTGCTCAGGCTATAGTAATATTGGCACAAGTGCCGTTCAATAAACTTCAATTAATGTTTTTACATGTCTTTGGGACATATATTATTTCGTTATCGAATATTCTAGCCGGCTCTTGGGCTATATATATTATAAACTAATTTTACCATTACAGGCGAATACTGAGACACACGGCCATTAAAACTACCAGACTCGATGCCACATACGATACTGAACCGGACTTTGTAGTAGACGAAGGTGTGATTGTAGTTGGACCAGTGTCTGGTGATCCTGAATTTGGTGTTGTAGTTGGAGTGGACTCTGATGATCCTGAATTTGGTGTTGTAGTTGGAGTGGTTTCTGATGATCCTGAATGTGGAGTTGTAGCTGTAGTGGGGACTGATGATCCTGAATTTGGTGTTGTTTTGGTCTCTGATGGTACTGGTTTCGGTGTTGTAGGTGGAGTGTCTTTGCCGTCACCAATTAATGGTAGGGAAAATACAGTTCCTGCGAATAGCACCAGGCAAAAAACTACAACTTGCTTCATTTTCGAACTTATTATATTTGGTTTGCCAATTTCAAAACCGCAGGAGACTGAGGAAGAATCGATACATTCAACTATTTTTATACGTCTGATATATCAATCGCTTATCAATCACTCCAATTACCCGGCATATTAAACTGATTAGATATACAGTGTGATTCGAATTACCAGTATCAAACCGAGACTGGTCAGGTAATAATTCCTATACTTGACTTCATTTAGGAAAACTGATATTGAATTCAACTGCTATTCAATAAATGTAAACTGCTCAAAACTGGGAATGAGTAAATCATTTTTCGATCAATTTTGATTCATCTTAATTTTCAACTGCCCTAACCCATTTTCAGTCCGTTTCAGATTTTGAATTTACGTTTCATAGACTATTGAACCTAGAGAAATTGATATTTCATCTCCAGAATGAGCTTCTACAGGATGATAATTAGAGCTGTGATATTTTTCAAGAATTTCAAAGGCCTCCCGTTTGAAAGACAAAGTTTCCAATGTTTTTTCATTTCATATCGTACCATCTGTTTTCTCCAAACTGTTTTGAAGTTCTTGATATTGTCACACTCATAACTGAAATATGAATTTATTCATCTGAGATAATACATGATTCGATAGTGCTCTAATTTCTATTGGCTCAATGTTCTTGTCATTCTTGAAATGATGCATGATCAACATATTCATTGCTATAGAGTGATCCTCAAAAAAACAATTATGTCACAAAATATTGAAAACTTATCATTCATTCATTCATCCCTCAACATACTGTATATTCATTTAAGAGGTTTATAGAAGGTTCAAAAAATTATCGTTAATAAGTGATTGATAATTGCACTGAATGCAGTTATCAAAATTAATTTTCACAATAATAAATGATGCTCAGATTATTGAGCGATCAGTAGACAATGATTATCAGGCTGAAAGATCAGATCATCAGCATTCTGCAGTTGTGATGAATTATGTTAGCTGCTCATCGTTAGTCGTTAGTCGCAGCAATTTTTTCTTTATGTGTCATCCGCTGTATATTTCTTAATTCTATCTTATTTGCCTTATAGTGAGAATGACTCCACTAAAATTCGATTTTTCCAACAATTCCAGTGATTTTATCTCATAATAGATTCTGTAGCAACTTGAGATGGTGAGGACACCTTCACCTACACTACGCTTTCATTGCGTAAAAACATCTCAATCCGAAAAATCCCGGAAAATTCACGAAAAGTACTTCAGGAAATTCCGTGATTGGTGTCTGATGAAACAAATAGATGAAATTCAAAGCGAGAGTGTGTTATCAGTATATTTTGACGAGAAGGCGAAGCATTTCAAGGCTTCCCAGCACCGGAAGATTTTGAAAAGAAAAGCCAACGCACAACTTCCAAAGAGTTGAAGCAAAGTGGATATTAGTATACCAAACAATGCGATTCATTCATTAACATCTTTGTTTATATGATGTCAAAGTGTTAGTGAGTGTGGCATCACCTGCCAGGCGAATAGCTCTTCTCTGGATGGAATCTAAAAGCATCAGAGTATGTGTGGGTGCTGAATACCGTATGTGAGAACAGTATTTCAGAACAGGTCGTATCTATGCTTGAATAAACACACCTTTATTAGCACTAGTGCAAAAAGTATTTTACTTTTAACACCAGTAATGTCATAAAATTGCATTTTCGACACTGACAGCATGCGATAAAAATTATATTTTCACTGAATTCTGTAAAAAAATGCATTATTCACTTTTAATCCCTGAAGGATAAAAAAGTGCCACTTATTCAGTTATCCTCAAATGAGGGATTGAAATAAGTACCCTTTTATTACCTGAAGTAAATAAATGCAATTCCTTCTTATTTGTACGTATCACACTCTGAACAAGTTATATTTTTGTTGTTTTTCATTATTCCCTGATATAACCTGCATGAAAATTATCGGGCATAGGTACCTACTGTAATCTATTTCTCGCTTATCTGACATCTGTCCTTCTGTTTAAAAATATATGAAAGTATCTAAATGTTATCTGAAACAACGACCCATATACATATTGTTCGATGCTTTGGTGATAAGTGGACTGTATACAGGCTGATCCACGGTGGATGGCCTATTAGAAGTATCTGGAGAACAAAATAACAGAACATTCTGAAAATTGGGATGCTTTGATAATTGAACATTCTCTATCCGTCTAAATATTTTCATCGATACAGTGTTGCCACTTCTATCAGAAACACTTCACACTTGGGGTCTAGCAGGAATGATTACAGAGATATATAAGGTGTTCAAAATCGAGATTTTTCAATTTCAGGATTTTTTTGTGTCGAAACTATTCATTATTGATCAAAACGGCTTACATGTCCCTATCTCAACTTTCGATTCACTATCTACTGACATTTAATTGGAACAGATACAGGATGATTAGAATTCTGAATCTTGAAACACCCTGTATTTTTTCCAATCAAATTCCAGTAGATAGTCAATCAAAAGTTAAGATAGGGACATGTAAGCCGTTTTGATCGATAATGAATCGTTTCGACACAAAAAAATCTTAAAATTGAAAAAATCTCGATTTTGAACACCCTATATTTCTGTAATCATTCCTGCTAGACCCCAAGTGTGATACATTGATGAAATCAGCTCTTTAGAAAGAATCTACAAATGCAATAAAATACAGGGTGTTCCATTTGAAATAACAAAGTTGCTAGTTGTTTCTGATAGAAGTGGCAACACTGTATCGATGAAAATATTTTAGATGAGTAGAGAATGTTCAATTATCGAAGAATCGCAATTTTCAGAATGTTCTGTCTTTTCGTTCTCCAGATACTTCTAATAGGCCATCCACCGTGGATCACCCTGTATAATTGTGATTGTTTGATAAGAAACTGATGAAATAAAAATTGAAGAGAAGAGATTGCAACTTTTCCTGAACTTTATTGATTAATTATTCTGTTTCAACAACACGTCGTCATGTTAACAACTCAAATGTTATTTTTTATATAGGGTAATACAGTTACCCAACTAATTATATAAGGTGAAAGTACTAAACACATATTTTTTCCAGGTAAGGTTGCCACTTCTATCAGAAACACTTCACACTTGGGGTCTAGCAGGAATGATTACAGAGATATAAGGTGTTCAAAATCGAGATTTTTCAATTTCAGGATTTTTTTGTGTCGAAACTATTCATTATTGATCAAAACGGCTTACATGTCCCTATCTCAACTTGTTCATTTAGCTGTTGATGTTCTACCAAGTTCACACCCTGAAAAAATATTTGATGCGCCACTGGTCTTTCGGGTAACTTCGGATATTTTAGCCGCTGGCTTGGTCTGCCAAGTTCACACCGGTCAGATTCATTGTCATATTGTCAATCAAATGTCAAATTGTCAAATTGCGAAATGCAAATTGTAAACAAACCAACAAAAACAAACAATATTTTCCTGATGGGAATAAAAATACAAGCTTTTTGAAGAGTTTCAGTTATTGGTTTTGCCATGAGTAACGATAGGAAGGTTATTAGTGTTAAATTCAATCAAGATCAAGGTTGGCAGGTGATTCTGAAAGTGGCATAATCATTCTACTTTAAATTGTATGATTTCCAGGATGTTTCACTTGCTGTATGGAGAGTGGTGTTCGAATTTATAATATTGACCCGCTGGTAGAGAAATCACATTATGGCAAGTCATATTCTCAATAAACTTGAAACTCATATTACTTATATACAGGGTGGGCCACCTCATATGAAGTTGTCTTTATTTGAGAAAGTGTATCAAATGTTAATCAATTGGGTTATTATTCATTACAATCGAAACTGTATGAATAAAAGATCTTCATGATATAAAATTTCTTTTAGTCTAGGTGTTGTATACAAAGTCAAATAAGAAGGTCGTATTGGATGCCCCATCTTGTATATATAGGTACAGTACCTAGGTGTAAGGAATACCTATTCATATTCCTACTTAATACCCTACATTTTCCATTCTTCCTAAACCAAATGATAATCAATAGCTCTAAACATTGTTCCATGATTGGTAGGTAATAGGGGTAATACATTAGGATTTTGCAGATATAGAAATGGTTGGTAGTGTTTCCCAGTGTGACATGTTATTCCGTACGAATCTGCTTGCAATTGTATCTGGTGGTTCTAGACCTAAGTTTGCAGACAATGTTCTACTGATTTATGATGATTTATTGAAGAAGTTTATCCTGGACATTACTTTTCCATCTTCTATAAGAGCTGTACGTTTAAGAAGAGACAAGTATGTATCTCAAAACTGGCTGGATTATTTGAGAATATCTCTAGAAATAATCTAAACTTCCTAAAAATGTATTTTCATGGTAATAAAGCATGTATGCATTGTATTCCAGTTGAGACACTCATGTCATGTGGTAAGCTTGTTTAGGTCATTAGGTGGCATCTCCTTCTCTATAAATTTGTATCCCGAGCTACTATATTATGTTTGTAACTGATATTACGTTAATGATATATTTTTACACACATTTCCTATTGTGTTCTTGTGCTCTGTGCTCATATTATTAACTGTCATATTAACTGAATAAAAATAGTTGTGGTAGTGCCTAGGGTCTCTTGATGTAAATTGACGTATTTGTCACCGATGACAGGTTCACAGGGGTGGTCTGTGGGTCACGATAGATAATCAAGGTTAGTAGAATTGATGATTACTCAATATTCTACCAACTTTGATAGAAAATAACACGTCACCCCATCTAACGGCAATAACTTGAACACTTGAAATGTAAACAACAGAATAGGCAATTTGACAGCTTTTAAAACCACCGCTAGGTGACTTTCGCTCATTTCCTTCGACGTCTCGGGGCTGGAATGTAGAAGGGCATTGGCTGCATTCGGATAGGTTATATAAAGTAGCAGTTTTATATAATATGCTTATATTTTTCAAAGAGCTCGATACTAAACGAGAAAATCAATGAATTACTATTATATTAGCCACACTTGAAATGTAAACAACAGAATAAGCAATTTGACAGCTTTTAAAACTACCGCTAGGTGACTCGCTCATTTCCTTCGACGTCTGGGGGCTGGAATGTAGAAGGGCATTGGCTGCATTCGGATAGGTTATATAAAGTAGCAGTTTTATATATATGCTTATATGTTTCGAAGAGCTCGATACTAAACGAGAAAATCAATAAATTACTATTATATTAGCCACATTCGATGATAATGTACTTCCTTATATCATCCGTTATCATCATCTAAGATGAACATTTATTTTTTTGTCATGATTCATGAATCTCATTTGCACATTTGACTATTTCTATGAGTGTCTTGACGAAAATCAAAAATGCAGCATGCAGCAGAATTAAGTAATAAATAAATATTTCATGAAATATCGTTTCAGGCTAGTTGTAGCATTACTAAACCAAGTACATGTCTTTTCATTTCCAACACCCACACAAAGATTATTCACCCTGGAAACTAAAGAAAATCCCAGGGGATTATGTGAAGTTAGTCCATTGGCGTCTGCCGAGAAGCAAATCCTCGTTTTTCCTGGACACAAAGTTGGAAGTGTTCAAATAGTAGTATGTAATGTTTTATGCTTGAATTCGTCCCGAGCATGTTCCACAAATCTTTTCAGGATCTTTCTTGCACAGAAATGGGTATTTCTAGTGCAGCAGTCTGGATAGCTGCACATAAAAGCGAGTTGGGTTGTTTAGCCATTAACCAGCAAGGGACACGTCTAGCGACAGCTTCCTATCAAGGGACGCTCATAAGGGTGTGGGACACGACTTCCAGGAATCAGCTGGTTGAGCTCAGACGCGGTTCTGATCCGGCCACTGTTTATTGGTGAGATTCCACTCGGGAAATATAAAGAAACTCCTGTTGTTTTTCGATTTGATGAGTTTATTTGGTGAATTGGTGCATACAGCTCATTCTATATAGATATATATATATAGTCTCCAAAGTGAATTGAGGCAGATCGAGTAGAAAAACATACACCGCGTGCTGCCGGTTCATTTGAAGTTCTAATAATGGTTGAATTATAATATGATGTGTTAATGGTGTGCTACGACTTATCTTCATCTTCGTATACGTCACTGCAAGTAAAGCAATTGCTGGCAGTCTGAGATTGCAGTTTCAGTCGCAGTTATCAATTTCCCTGAGGCGCTCTGATCATTTTAGTACGAGTATAGACTCGCAATGACGTTATGCAAAGAAAAGACGAATCCAAGATACCTGAGTAGCACACCATATTATATTTCCACCCATGTTCTGATGGACTGGGTACACGTGTCGGACATTGCTTTCTCAACGCGTGCCAACTGACTTTGGAAAGACTATACCTCTATAACTGATGTAGGTATTTTCAATATTTCATTCCATACTTTTACTTATCAACTACACTGTTCCCCTTAATCACTTTTGAGCCACTCTCAATTATGGAATGACGCTGTTCATAATTGAAATTCAAAGAAAAATAAAAACATTAGAAACTGAGTAGAAATAAATAATGCTAGCTACAAAATTTCGAATAAACATGACTCAACCATTGTCCATCTAAAGGGAAACCTAGTAGGCGACCTAGTATGCGAGGAGGTATGGTCTCGCCTACTAATTACCTAACTAGGTTGTCTTCAAAACGACAATGACTCAACAAACCTAGTATAATTAAGAGTATAAAAAAATCGTTGAATTAGCCTATCATACCAGCTTTCACAATATTTTTCTTTGTAATTACTTGAAGAAAAAATAAGTTCACAGTAGCCAGTTTTAAAATAGGTCCGTTCGTTGAACATATTCTGTCAGCATTGTCAGCAAAAATAATATGAAAGACTTATCCAACTTCTAAACGACTTCATACATTCACGTTGATTAAGCATGGATACTTGTGTTGAAACTTGAAAGCTAGGACAAGCTCAAAACCTAGTGTAGATCAATGAATTATAGTAAAGAACAACAACAAATAAATGCCAGTTAAACCAAAAATTGGTCTACCTGAAAGCTGAGTGTATAATTGAGACATTTTCAACCTTCAACCAGAGAGGAAAGTTATCTCCTCTTCCATCTTTCTCTTCTATGCTACCAACCTGGCTTCATTGAAATATAGAGAGGTCCGATAAATATTTTCTTGTCGAACCTCTAGTCTGCTCCACTGAACTATTATTGAAGTTTTTCGCGATAGAAAATAACACGTCACTCCACCTGACGGTAACAGCTTGAACTCTGAGCGGTTTGTTTTGATGATGATGAAAAAAACAAATGGAAACAAAGTGAACATGCTGCTTTGACAGCTTTCAAGAACTCCGATAGGTGGCGTACGCTTATTTTCTATTTCATTTAGACTGAACTAACTAATCAAATTCTTTGGAAAGAACACATAACTGATTCAGTTCAGTTCTAGTGAGATATTTCAGTTAGTTATGTCAGATTATCAGATTATAATGTGATATGGCTATGTCATTGAATGATAACCTTTCAAATATCTTTTGTTGATATCGTTAATTTGACACTGTTGAATTCAAAAATAGTTCAGTGGCACAAACTAGATGTTAGACAAGGGCAGATTTATCGGACCTCTCTATATTTCAATGCGGCTACGTTGGTAATGTTGGTCTCATTGAAGAGAAAGATGGAAGAGAGAACTTTTTCTCGTTCAAGATAAAAAAGACCTTAATTGGTTTAATGAGTTTTTTTGTGAGAGAAGTCTATAATTCAATATGGATATGGATTATGGATTGAGAAATTTGATAGTACCTATCAATGTCCTTGATTTCAGATATGACTGGTGCTTATTTAGTTGAAAGTGACTCACATGAATGGCTCTACCATTGATTCAAAATTGTAGGGCTTTTGAATAGAAAATATTAAAAGACTTTGATTTCAAAGTTTGTTATCCACTCTCCTAATTAAGTCAGGGTTGACTGTTAAAGTGGAATATGGAAAAGGAAATGAAATGATGAAAAAAGCTAATGGGGTCAATCAGGGGTGAAAATAATGGAAAATGGAGTTATAAGAATTATTTTTTTCAGTATCAACTTCAGTAGGGACTCAGATTATCTCTGTTGCTCTAGTGATAAGGGAACAGTTCATATATTTGCCATAAAGAATACCAATCTGAATAAGAGGATGATGTAAGTATCAACATCTTCTTGAAAAATGAGAACTTTCTGTATTTCCTGCAAATTTTATTTGAGAATTTGTTCATGCAACTTTTCCATGTTGCTTTATAGAACCAAACCAATGAAGAATTTTATTGCAGAATACCAAGTGGAGGCATCTTAGGAAAATATGGGGAATCTCAGTGGGCACTAGCAAATTTCACTGTCCCCCCAGAGTCTGCTTGTGTCTGTGCTTTTGGCCCAAACAGTTCAGTTATTGGTAAGGAAAAAGAAGTGTTTCTCTTATATATAATTCTTTTTCACTATAATACTTTTGACCCATTGATTTCACAGATATTTACAGTTCTATTGAATTTATTAAGTTGTTTATAGGTTGTAAAGTACTCTAATAAAAATATTTTTTAGCTGTATGTCTAGATGGAACATTCCACAAATACATTTTTACTGCTGATGGCATTTGTAATAGGGAATCCTTTGATGTTTACTTGGATGTATGTGATGATGATGAAGAGTATTTCTCATGATTCCTCCCATGATTCACTATATTGAAATGAAATAAATAAAAGTGACCTAACTGTACATACATAACTGATATTTTACTAATGTTATAATTAAGTATAGTCACTGAAACCATAATTGATTATATACCTACAAGTCTTTCATTCTGGAGTTTTATTGGTCTTCACCTAACTACTTTCTTCCAAATGGATCTGTCCAAACTTTCATATCTAAAAATGAAAATTATCTTTGGTTGAATGAGTAATTATTGGAAATTGAAAAGGCAATATCAGGAAATGAATTCAGATATATCAGATGGGGAAATTGTAGCACAAGTATATACCTGCTTCAACCCTATACACCTGCCTAATACAAGTGTTAATATTGGTATTGGTAAAGCAAAAAACTTACTTCCTGGCTGAATATCTTCTTGCCTGATGTGTGCTCTCGTTTGTGCTTGAATTTTCTCTGTAATAATGATGATTCATGGATTATGTAAACTATTGTGATGTGAATGTGGAACTTAACTATATTTTTCTGGATTGCTCATGGGATCAATTATTATGGGATAAATCGCAAGTCCAATTCCTCCAACAAGGCCTCCTAAAAGTAGAGCATATCGCCAACCTTTTAGTAATGGAGCTGCCATACTGAAATAATTATAAAAATGAAAATATTTCAATTATAACCCCAAAATCAAAATACAGTTTTGAAGTGACTGCTACCCCGTTTGGCGGTTTACATAATGGAGATTGGAGGTAGGTAGTGACTAATGTGCCGAGTTAAGGTGATTTATCACATAGCCAACAATATTCGCGAGATTCACGAAGTGGGCGTCATCTAGGTTACATACTACGAACTTCAAACTGGGGGAAAACAAACTGTTGTCTATGGATAAAGTGCTTAAACTACATTGCATACATCTTGCTGTAGCTGTAGTTGTCAAACTTGTCAATGACATTAAGTGTTATCACTCTTATCAGTACACAGTACACAAGCTAATGGCACAAATGGGATTGAGTGTGGATTGAGTTTGTTTTCCCTCAGTTCTGACGTGGCTTTGACATGGAACGATTAAAACCGAGCGCCACCTGGTAACATTGATTCCCGCGAATAAACAGTCCGAAACCAACCACTGTTGGCAGCAATGGCACATCAATATGCTATCATTGATCTCACATCCGGTAGAGGCTGTGAGCCTACAGTAGAAAATGCTTGTGAAAATAGTTTCACCTAGGGACCTGTAAGAGGTCCCTAGGTGCGTATTATATTGCGCATCACTCAATTTTCACAATGCCGTAGGTGTGGAGATTGCTAGAAACGATATAATTTAGTGACTTCTTCCGTCTCTTATTAAAAGTTACGACCAGGCGAGAAAACAAAATATAGCTCTCCAACTACGGCAGATTCTCTCATTTATAAATTATTGGTTCACACACTTCACTGATTGGATCATAAAAATGGAATGAATAAGCATCAAAGCATCCACAGAAAACTGAAGATCACGGCGGAGGTCTATTGGGCCTATTTTATTATAAGGGAGCGAGCCGAAATCATTGTTTTCGCCATTCGAGGAATATCCTTGCACGAAAACATGGTTGTTGATAACGAAATAAATGTTGATTCTTTCATATCTTTTGGGGCGCACGAAAGGGAATCCCTAATATAATGTTCGATGTATATATATCATGTATCGTGACTAACCAGCCTGCTTTGAAATTTGTTCAAAACAATAAATCTCTGACTTTTGGAAAGTTGTTTCCGTTGTTGCAGATCTAGATTTCAATTACTTAACAAAAAGGTAACCTAATCAACCAAAGAAATCACAGTTTGGTCTAACTGGAACCATATGCTCTACTATATAGTTCACAGTTTAAAACATCATCCTCAAATCTCAAATATCGATTGAAATCAGAAGGGCTGGTTCTTTTTATATAGTTACCTCGAAAATACCGGATATTTATATATTCATATTCATGAATTGAAAAAAAAAACAATCGTGCTCTGATTCATGAAATTTGATATTAGACCAAATTACCAATTCCAGTAGGTATGAGTACCTAATATGTAGATCGAAGTATGTTTATCACCCTACCAAAAAGAATTTGATTAAATTAAATCATGAGCTATCATATGCGACCATGATCTGAATTAATGAATGATATTGTTTCAATTCTCTACGTCCTCTAGAAACCTGTAGAGTATGTTTTTCCATCAGAAAATAATCTAAAGGTGTATAGGCTCTTTCCATGCACCAAACAAATTCCGGTAAAGCAATAAATTAGCAAATTTAGAGTGTCGATATTGATGTCGTAAAAAACACCTTCATGAAAGATTTACCGCCTCAATTGTATCAATGTTTGCCAGTCAATTTATAAGAAGTAATTCTCAGGAGGAACATGCGCTTTATTCTTCCTTTATCCCTGACCGGTGGTGGAAACAGTTGGCGATCGAGGGTAGTTCTCCTCCGGCAGTCCTTCGGATAATTCAAATTCGTTTTTCCCGTAACGGAAAAGTGAAGCATCGGTTTTTCTTTCGTTCCAAGAACTGAGTGGTAAACTGATAGGGCTATTATCAATCATTATATATAGTTTCGGAATATTTTTTGTGATACTTGAGGCTTTCAATTTTTCGTGAAGGTATTTATTGTTTTGAAGTGATCAAAACTATACAATTGACACCTTGATATTTCTCCGGATTTGAACAGTTATTGCTTCATTTTTGAATGCCTTGGCCGATGTTAATATTTTTCGCTTGAAACCCAAGTTTGTGTCAGCGGTTCTCTATTGTTTTTGGATCAGTTTTTGCCAAATTCCCTTTCGTGCAATGTGCGACAAAACAACCTTCGGTAAAAAATCACTGAATCTTTGTTGGTAACAATTTTGCTTAAAGGAATTTTTCCATGTATCACATTTTTTTAATAAGAAGTTTCTGACTAATTTTTCGTACAATTGTCTTTTGAAAGTGCATATAGGTGGTTAAAAGGACAACACTCAGTTCTTGAACATCTTGTATTATCTCAGCTGTGGAAGGTTTGTGAATTCTTCGAATGTGGTTACCAGTATCGACTATTGCAGCGTTATGTGTCCTGATAGATATATCGGATGGCATTCCATCTGAAAATGATTTAGAAAATGTGTTCAAAGAACGGTAAGAACATCAATAAAATCACATTTTTTCCTCAATATCAGACCATGAAATATATAAGAAACCTATACTTGAATAATCACTTTCACAATTATTCAACTGACCGACTTGAGAAATCTACAGGTTCTTTTCAAAAGATATTTTTATCTGAGCTGAACATTATTGGTGGTAGCCAACGAATATTACTGCGTGCTGCAGGAAAATTCAGGGTGGCTCACTATAATTTTCAAGATAAAGACTGATGACTGATCCTATATTTATGCCGTCGATAATAATTGAGATTGAAATTAACACAAAATTTTCTAATCATTCCTCTCGTTGAAATTACAGAACACATTCAGATTGGAAGAATGCTTGGCATCAAGAAAAATATTCCAGGTGCAGAGATCGTCTAATATCTCACCTGTACTGGGCTTGCGAAAAAGACATTTATAGGCTGTCAAGAAGGAGCGATCCCAGCTTCAAAAGATATAATGACTACGAAGATGTCTTCGAAGGTAAGTAATGGGTTTTCTCATCAATCCAAAAAATATCACATATTACGTTCTAATTTTCGAACGAAAACTCGAGTATTTCCGAAGGCAAGTACTTTTCGTCCTCAGACACTAACTTTTCAGTAGATCTGATTTGCATATATTGATTTACTGATCTGCTGAAACATTTCATATCCTACTGAAAAATATTTCGACACTTATTTATTATTATTATTACCCCTATAGTATTATCAATCTTACCCAGCGAGCACAAAAACATCTCAGAGATGCTAAAAGTACGAGATTTCGAGACATTGAACCTCCACTGCGATGTTCTGTTCACACATGAATAGAACTATTATAGAACAGCCAATGTCCGCCACAGGCGACAATTATCGAGATGTCCTTGATATGTCACAAAACTACCTTCTCCCTAGTTCTTTTTAAAGCCTTTTCATGGACACAACAAAACATTTTCAACGCGTCTTGTGCACATTAAGTCGCTGTAAAAAAACCATTTTCGAGGTACTTTTCTGAAGCCTCTTGTCAAAATGAACTTTTGCATTAGGATTCCATTTCCCTTGAATGAAAAAATGCATTGAAAATAGATTGAACAGAAAAATTTTTTCTTGATATGAAATTACCTTCTTAATCGGTTTCTGAGTAGTGCTTCCTACACACAGACATATAATTGGAAATAGGTTTCCCAATTTTTGAAATGTTCTCCACAATGCATAATTTTGCAACTGCGGAGAAGCTGTGTATTGATAAATTCGTACTTTTATATATTGATTACACTGAGGCACCGAACAACACATCTTGCATCTGATGGTCATTATTACAAACGAAATAAGTCTTCTAACACAATGAACTTCACCAAATTCCTTTCTGTTCATTAGCAGCGTGATGTAAGCGTGACACGCTGCAAACGCGAATGCCAATTGCGAACAAGAAGAACAAAACCGAAGACAAATCAGAATTCATCATATTACGTCTCAAAATAACATCTTCATGCCAACATTTTCAAAACATCCCAAAACATCCCAGGGATGTTTGTGTTCGCTGGGTAGTTAATCACATATAGGTACTCATGAATTGCATGATATTTTGGCACGCTCTGTTTAAATTAATTTCACAAAATAAGTAATAAATGTACATATAGGTACTAATGATATCTATAAACCAAAAGAGAACAAACTTTATCTGATTCAGATCAAATTCATTTTTTATATACCTCTGTTATAACAGTTTGTTTCTTACGTTTAATTTCTTTATCTGTTTTGTGTTTTGTTATTCATTTTTACTATCCGTTCCTATTTTTTATGTACTAAAATTTCATCAGTACCTATGTAACTTCATATTGTGATATTTTTGAGTATTTTTGAATTGAGAATTAGGAATATGACAATCTTGAATGAGAATGTTTGTCTTGTTTTTTTTCTATTTTTTTGTAAATAGGTCACGTTTATGTTTACCAATAGTACGACATAATGTTTTGACGTCATAGGTTTATTTCATTATCCTTTATTGGAATTCGCATAGCATAAAATAGATCTTGCGCAGATCTATCGAAATCTACTGAATTTTTGACAAGGTATTTACACGGAGAGTGAGTTGACAACAAATGCCATTTGCTGTTGACAAATTAATTTTTTTCTGTGACGGGAAAAAAGTTTGGCATTTCATCTCTGTTGGCAGGTTATAAAATGTCACTTTTCATAAATTACTTTTTTCCCGTGGGAAAAAAGTGAGTACTTCTTTCCCGGATATATATCACATATATATACTCTGTTAATGGCTTTTGTTGTGCTATAGTTCCGAAAAATAAGTCAATAATACCGTCTCCGAGAAAGAACTGCAAGTCTTTTTATCTTCCATTCGACTTCGCGGTTTCGTATATTACTAAACAACTACTAAATTCGCAATTTTTTAAAATCAAATCACAGAATTGAACTGACAGAAGTGACATCAGATATTTGATTACTTCAAAAGAATGATGAAGATGTCTATAAAACGCAGGTGTCCCTACTGTTAAAAACTTGAAATTTCACGTCGATAATTTTTAGATTTCGAAATAATGTAATATCTTCCCAATATTGATTCGTCCTTCCTTCTGTCACAGAAAAAAATAGTGTATTATACACGGGAAAAATATTAGATTTTAGCTCACGGTTTTTTGTCTCCCTCCGCTACGCGTCGGGAGACAACACAACCTGGAGCTAAAATCTACTACTTTTTTCCCTTGTATAATAAATAACTATTTCACGAACTCCGATAGATTTCACATGTGAATAGGACCGTAATGTGAATATAAGTGTTTGAGCCGAACTCTTACGAAAACATTCACATTGCAATACAAAGCAGGCAATCAAACCGTATCAAAGTATTTTTAATTGAAATTTTTCATTATCCAATGCTTCAAGAGAGAAGATCGTTCATTGAAAACTGAAACCGTCACTTCTTGACTTTATTTGATTAAATGTTTTCTAGTAAACGAAGGAGATCCACTTATTGATATAGATTTATACACAGAACGGGAATCTTCGGGAATAATGGTCAACCTATGAAAATAGTTACCTGTATGTCTTACTATAGGCAGCAACGTATTGGATTGACTGCCAAGGCTGATGATAGTCTGAGTGTCAGAGAAAAACCATCACTTTCTTTACCGCTTGGAGAAAAAACACATTAGCAGAAAGTGTGTTATGATTTCTAATTCGTATATTACGTTGTGTTATTTACTGATTTTGACTTCAATCTACTTCATATGGAACTTGAATGTATTATAGTTATTTATGTATCAAGGTTGTAAAGTAGGCTTTTATGGACCGCGGCATGTGTGGTGTAATTAAGAGTCCGAGCGACAGCTAGGGCAATAAACACGCCTATACAAAAGCAAGCTACGCCCAAAATACATATACAACATTTTATGCACGACCGTTTTCGACATTTATTTACTGTCAAAACAGTGAAATTACTTTACCGCTCGATCACCCAATTTTCGCCCGCCGGACTTTTCTACCGCCTTCATCGACATAGAGGGCGCTAAAGTTTTACTTTACGCCGCCCGCGAATCTGGGTGATAAAGTGCCACTTCACGACCGATTGTGCATGAAATATTTTTTTGACTTTATGATAGGTACATGAATTCCGAATATGAAACTACAATGTATATTGAAGACACAACCAAATATTTCACATTTATTGGATGTTGGATATGTACGGCATTAGAGAATCCATGGGCGAGTCATTTTGCGAGTTTGGTCACACACTGAAACTACACTTGTCTAAGAAATTAACGTACCACCAAAAAATAGCGAAAAGTTTAGGACACATTTTCGTCAAAAGTACTTGTCCGATTTGGATGATTTTTTATTTGAATCACTGGTTATTTTCTTCTGAATATTGGTGTGTAAACTGTATTCCCAAAAAAACATCTTTTTTATATATACTGGGTGTAGCAATTACAGCGGGTTTTTTTCATGAAATCACACGTCTTATTTTTTCTTCCAAAATTTCTTTTTTGAAATCACTCCATTATCTTTCCGATCGCTCTGTTTCTCGAGTTTTTATAGCATAACAAGATTTTATGTAGAATTGATATCCAACTTAAATAACGGAAAAAAACAGAATGCGAAGTCACGAGCTGAACGAAATGGTCAGTAGCGAGTATTTCTGCTGCGGGAACGAAAAATTTCAGGGCAAAGACGGCCTATACCCAAAATAAGAGACCTAAGGAATGTTGGTCCAGGTCTTCCCAAATTCGAACAGAGAGTAATAGCTTTTTACCTAACAGGTGCGGAAAGTAGTACTTTTCCGCACGCGACTGCAATTGCACGAACGACGCGGAGCGGAGTTTGGGCAAGCCTTCAAGGATGAAAATGACATTTTCCTCAGAAGTTGGGTACAATATTTTTCCTACGAGTATTCTTGTCCATATAATTTATGAAAACGAAAAAGGTTTTCAATAAACAAGATTTTATAATAATCCTACAAAATGACACATAAGACAGAATAGTTACATAGATCATCTAGTTAGTCTCAAATATCCTAATTTTCAACAAAACAAAAATCGTGCGAAAAAGTAATTTTTCAGCATTAGTGCGGTAAAAGTAACTTTTCCGCGCGATTTAATCGACAATTCCACTCAAATAGGAAGGAATCGAAATGCAAATGGATAAAAAATCGGATAAATTACGTTACTATAGCGATGCTAGCATTTACTGTTCGTTTATCAAAAGTGTTGCGCGTCGCATCAAAACAGAAATAAACAGCAAATGATACTCCGTGGAGATTTGAGAATATTTGCATCAACAAGAATCCTCAGACTATATGTGTGGTTCTAAAATCTCCAATATGTACCTTTCAGCTCTTATAAGGCCTCTACTTTCGTGCTTATAATGCTAATTGAATTCAATAATATGCTATGCGTTATGCTATAAGATTGTGTTTCTGGAGAAATAGGAAAGATAATGGAGTCAATTCAAAAAAAGGAATGTTGAGGAGATATCGTTACTGTCCAGTCTCCACCGGGTATAACAAATTTCATGAAAAAAAAATTGACCATCTGCGGCACGTGACCAAGTGGGCGTGTCCATCTCGCCTGGAGGGTAAACAAAAAATTTGGCTCCATTACATTCTCATTGAAATTGTGTTTGTTTAAGTTTGATGAAGTCTAATAATCTTGTGTCTTGAAAGCGTTTCGAAGTGCTGCTACTGTTTTATGGAAGGACTATGATGAGTAAGTACATTGAGTGAGCAATATGAAATCTTGGACGAAATAAATGCTAAAAGATATATGGAAAAAATTGCGTGCATAGGATATGAGGATCCATATTGCATAATTGATGATTTGCCACCAGTTTTATGTCCAGATATTATTATCTAGTATTTGCAAGAAGTGCATTCAGTATGGAGCAACTGGAAGCATATAAGGGTGATTCTTGCAAAGCTGCATCATGAGGTTGGGTGAGAGACCTCCGCTCCAAACGTGTTGGTGAACACATCTTGGTTTTAGGAAAGGAAAAGTTAACACACAATTATTTATTATTCATATTAACTGTGTAATTATTATTTTTGAAGCTTCTGCATTCACAGAAACTGAATCAAAAATGCCTTAATCCTTGGATTATATGTGAAAGTAGTGGTACTGTGAAAAATGCACATTGTAACTGTGTTGCTGGTTTAGGAGAAACTTGCACACATGTTCCAGCTATATTATTCTCCATTGATAATTTGGTTCGTCCAACATCATCTGTGGAATCAAAATCTGAAAGCTTATTGGGTAGCTCCAATTAGTAAACCTTCTGCGCCCAGCAAAGTTTTTGACATTGATTTCACAAAACCAGGTTCAAGCAAATCACAATTGGAAGCACATAAAGAAGATGGTAGTACGAACCAACAAGAGATTGTACAATTTTTACAAACAATGAAAGAACAAAAAGAGGTAGTGCTCTCCACTCAATTGGCTAAGTTGTTTTCTCTTCTGTTATTGTCTAGAACTGAGGGAATCCTAAAAAATCTGACACTGTTTCTCATTCCAGTACTGCCGCAATTCACTACCATACAAAAATTCGGTATATTATTCGGTTAGAATCTGTAGATGTAAATCATAGGCCCTCAAAATCAGAAGATTTGGATCACAGATAGATACATTAATCAACAGGACTATCACAAAGCAGTAAAATGAAAAATAAAAAAAATATTATAAACTCATGAACAGAATACCTCCACGGTTTCTTTACCCTCCAAGCGTTCGACCTTCAACGTTGTGACGTCAGCCGCAGATGGTCAATTGCTATTCATACAAAGAGGTTCTTGAATTATGCGAATACAGTTTGCACACCATTGTTTAGAAGGAAATAATCTGTCACTAATAACAAAAAACGTACAAATCGGACAAGTAGTTTTGACGAACATGTTTCCTACACATGTTGGTAACTTTTTGGTGGTGCGTTTATTTATTGGAGAAGTGTTCAAAATATTAGGTTAATGATTTATGTTTCATTCTTTGCAGTTGGATTTCCATGGCAAACGAGAAATAAGGCAAGAAGGATCGTTAGATTCAGACGAAGCTTGGATAAGAGGTCAGCATCGATCACGAACGAATGTTGCAAATCGACGGGGTGCACTTGGGAAGAATATGCGGAATATTGTCCTACTAATAAACGTTATACATCTTATGTATAAATTAACAACAGATTAAATCAATTATCAACGTAGATTACTATATCATTGAATTTATCAACTAAAAAATTATAATTATTAAAGAAGTACCTGATAGAATTTCATTCAACCTTTTCGATTATCAATTATATTATCATCAATTATGTTTCGAAATCAGTTGTTACATTAATTGTGGTATACTCGTCCTTTCATAATCTGTTGATTCAATTTTGGGTAGACTTCTATAGACTCAACTAACTCTAGACTCAGCTTTTCACAGTTCACTACTAAGGAATCAAGAGTCCCTTGATGGAAATTGACGTTAAAGTCATCTTAACAGATGATCTTAAGATGACTTTAACGTCAATTTCCATTAAAAGGGACCCTAAAGGAATCTAGAGTCCCTTGATGGAAATTGACGTTAAAGTCATCTCAACAGATGATCTTAAGATTACTTTAACGTCAATTTCCATCAGGAGACCCTAAAGGAATCTAGGGTTTGTTTTTTGTTTTCACTTTACCCGTAGATAAGTATCAGTTGACCTCTTTTATTCGTCTGAGCAGTTGACGCATGTGACGTACTTGTGAATCACAGAAAAAAGTTTGCTAGGTGGTCCCGTGTCCCGTGAAGTAGTACCAACAGTATAGCGTTATATTGCACTTTTCGCAGAACAACAGTTTTTTTTTTTCAATTTCTCTGCGTAGCTTTGCATTTTGCAACCAATTCCTCTTCCTACCTGATGATTTTGTTTTGCTTTTCGTGTGATGATAATGAATGATCATTTTTGAAAAAGTGTATTTTGTAAATGGATGGAGCAGATTCTCTCAAACCGACCTTAAAAATTTTTTGTTTGAATATCGGCCTGAAATATAGTTTAGTGCTCTTGCCCCAATGCAAAACTGGTCAACTCGATAATTCTAATCAATCTGAACTTTCAAAAACCCTAACAGTAGTAACAGTAGTTGTAATTTCCCCTCTAAACTGTTTCCGCTGCGGCAGCAGCCATAATGTGTTCTACGGTACTGGCGTGATTCTGTCGTCTAGTTTTGTCAAGTGATAGTTGACGTATGTGAAGTACTCGTTAGTTGTGAGTCACAGAAGCACAGAACATAAACTTTGCCTGGGAGGATAATATCGTATCTGTGATTAATTTCTGTGTTCCGTGATGTAGTACCAACTGTGTCAACTTCAAGCAAGTGTGTTAAAATGGCTACAAATAATTATTTTGGTTTCACTCACGGCGGTGCTCAATATACGTAAGTATTTTATGTGATTTTCCTAATGAAATTTATAATTTAGTTCGTGGCTGTTACAATTTACGAGATATTCTCGAGTCATTTCCGTTCGAAATGTTGCTCTACCACTAGATTTAGCACCGGCGTCCTTGAAAGCTTCGGTTGTATTCGCGATCAATAACCGCACGGTCCTCCATTAGGCGGCATTTTGGCTTTCCCAAATTCGCGGATTATCCCTCGACAACTGGATGAATATCCGAAAAATTCGACTAGCTTGATACTGATTAGGGCACGCCCGTTCGATTCATTAAGCGGGACACCATTTTCGTGATTCACAGTGCAGCGGCCACTGGACCAGCTTACCAAGCAACCCAGACTGGTTATGCTGTAGCAAGTCCGGCTTCCGCAGCGGCAGCAGCAGCAACTTACGGCGCTCAGAGGCCCACTGGGTACGAGACAGCTTATCAAGCTGCAGCAGCTGCCTCCCAGGGTACCTACGCAGCTGTGGGAACTGGTGCTACCCCTACCTACGACTACGGATACGGTATGAGTCATTTTGAGCTCTCTCACCAGATCTGAGCTTGTTTTATAACATCTAATCACCTGTACATAATGTTTGGTTCATTTATAAACCCACCTGAACTGAGAATTAACAATCAAATTAGGATTCTAAGAAGCTGATTTACTACCAATGATTACAGACAGGGTATAATCTTTTTGAGCTCTCTGACCAGATCTGAGCTTGTTTTATGACATCTAATCACCTGTACAACATGTTTGGTTGATTTATAAATCCAACTGAACTGAGAATTAACAATTGAATTAGGATTCCATAATGCTGGGTTTATAGATCCAACTAAACTAAGAATTAAACTAACAACTATGAACTTGAAAAGTTGAATACATGGAAACATCTATGAGGGTTTATATTTACATGTACATCTGTCATTTAAATTATGAATTACAAAGTTGGACAACTTTCAACTTAACAACTAAGAATTAGGAAATTCTGGAGACAGAACATGAAGATGGGATTTGTTATTGTTCAAGTGGAGTTTGGTGATATTTAATTGGAGTATTTTTTATGGATTCATGAATTGTGGAGACCAAAATTACTTTTTAACATCATATTGATCTACAAACAAAGGACATTTCACATCTAATTCTTAATTATTATCAGATATGTATAAACACCCTCATGATAATTAATTGTTGATTGTTAATTGTTAATTCCTAATTGTTAGTTTAATTGAATCTATAAACCCAGCATGAAGCTAATTCAGTACCTATGATTACATAATATAGGGTATGATTTTTTTCAGCTCTGACCAGATCTGAGCTTGTTTTATTACATTTAATTACCTGTACAACATGTTTGGTTCATTTATAAACCCACCTAAACTGAGAATTAACAATTAGATAAGGATTTCAAGAAGCTGATTTAGTGCCTATGATTACAGATAGGGTATGATTTTTTTGAGGTATCTGACCAGATCTGAGCTTGTTTTATAACATCTAATCACCTGTACAACATGTTTGGTTGATTTATAAATCCAACTGAACTGAGAATTAACAATTGAATTAGGATTCCATGAAGCTAATTCAGTACTTATGATTACATATAGGGTATGATTTTTTTCAGCTCTGACCAGATCTGAGCTTGTTTTATTACATTTAATTACCTGTACAACATATTTGGTTCTTTTATAAAACCCACCTCAACTGAGAATTAACAATTGAAGTAGTATTCCAAGAAGCTGATTTAGTGCCTATGATTACAGATAGGGTATGATTTTTTTGAGCTCTCTGAGCTTGTTTTATAACATTTAATTACCTGTACAACATGTTTGGTTCATTTATAAACCCACCAAAACTGAGAATTATCAATAAGATAAGGATTTCAAGAAGCTGATTTAGTGCCTATGATTACAGATAGGGTATGACTTTTTTGAGCTCTCTAACCAGATCTGTGCTTGTTTTATGACATTTAATCACCTGTACAACATGTTTGGTTGATTCATAAATCCAACTGAACTGAGAATTAACAATTCAATTAGGATTTCAAGAAGCTGATTTAGTGCCTATGATTACAGATAGGGTATGATTTTTTTGAGCTCTCTGACCAGATCTGAGCTTGTTTTATAACATTTTATCACCTGTACAACATGTTTGGTTCATTTATAAACCCACCTAAACTGGGAATTAACAATTAGATAAGGATTTCAAGAAGTTGATTTAGTACCTATGATTACAGATAGGGTATGATTTTTTTGAGCTCTGATCAGATCTGAGCTTGTTTCATAACATCTAATCACCTGTACAACATGTTTGGTTGATTCATAAATCCAACTGAACTGAGAATTAACAATTCAATTAGGATTTCAAGAAGCTTTAGTACCTATGATTACATATAGGGTATGATTTTTTTGAGGTCTCTGACCAGATCTGAGCTTGTTTTATAACATCTCATCACCTGAACAACATGTTTGGTTGATTCATTATAAATCCAACTGAACTGAGAATTAACAATTGAATTAGGATTCCATGAAGCTGATTTAGTACCTATGATTACATAGGGTATGATTTTTTCAGCTCTGACCAGATATGAGCTTGTTTTATTACATTTAATTACCTGTACAACATGTTTGGTTCTTTTATAAACCCACCTAAACTGAGAATTAACAATTGAAGTAGGATTCCAAGAAGCTGATTTAGTACTTATGATTACAGATAGGGTATGATTTTTTTGAGCTCTCTAACCAGATCTGTGCTTGTTTTATAACATCTAATCAGCTGTACAACATGTTTGGTTCATTTATAAACCCAACTGAACTGAGACTTAACAATTACATTAGGATTCCAAGAAGGTGATTTAGTACCTATGATTACAGATAGGGTATGATTTTTTTCAGCTCTCTGATCAGATGTGAGCTTGTTTTATAACATTTAATTACCTGTACAACATGTTTGGTTCATTTATAAACCCACCTGAACTGAGAATTAACAATTTGATTAGGATTTCAAGAAGCTGATTTAGTACCTATGATTACAGATAGGGTATGATTTTTTGAGCTCTAACCAGATCTGAGCTTGTTTTATAACATTTAATCACCTGTACAACATGTTTGGTTCATTTATAAACCCACCTAAACTGAGAATCAACAATTGAATTAGGATTCCATGAAGCTGATTTAGTACCTATGATTACAGATAGGGTATGATTTTTTTCAGCTCTCTGATCAGATCTGAGCTTGTTTTATAACATCCAATCACCTGTACAACATGTTTGGTTCATTTATAAACCCACCTGAATTGATAATTAACAATTTGATTAGGATTTCAAGAAGCTGATTTATTACCTATGATTACAGATAGGGTATGATTTTTTGAGCTCTAACCAGATCTGAGCTTGTTTTATAACATTTGATCACCTGTACAACATGTTTGGTTCATTTATACACCCACCTAAACTGAGAATCAACAATTGAATTAGGATTTCAAGAAGCTGATTTAGTACCTATGATTACAGATAGGGTATGATTTTTTTTAGCTCTCTAACCAGATCTGAGCTTGTTTTATAACATCCAATCACCTGTACAACATGTTTGGTTGATTTATAAATCCAACTGAACTGAGAATTAACAATTGAATTAGGATTCCATGAAGCTGATTTAGTACCTATGATTACAGATAGGGTATAATTTTTTTGAGCTCTGACCAGATCTGAGCTTGTTTTATATCATTTAATCACCTGTACAACATGTTTGGTTCATTTATAAACCCACCTAAACTGAGAATTAACAATTGAAGTAGGATTCCAAGAAGCTGATTTAGTACCCATGATTACAGATAGGGTATGATTTTTTTTGAGGTCTCTGACCAGATCTGAGCCTGTTTTATAACATTTAATTACCTGTACAACATGTTTGGTTCATTTATAAACCCACCTAAACTGAGAATTAACAATTAAATTAGGATTCCATGAAGCTGATTTAGTACCTATGATTACAGATAGGGTATTATTTGATTTATTGAGCTCTCTAACCAGATCTGTGCTTGTTTTATAACATTCAATCACCTGTACAACATGTTTGGTTGATTGATAAATCCAACTGAACTGAGAATTAACAATTGAATTAGGATTTCAAGAAGCTGATTTAGTTCCTATGATTACAGATAGGGTATGATTTTTTTCAGCTCTCTAACCAGATCTGAGCTTGTTTTATAACATTTAATTACCTGTACAACATGTTTGGTTCATTTATAAACCCACCTAAACTGGGAATTAACAATTTGATTAGGATTCCATAAAGCTGATTTAGTACCCATGATTACAGATAGGGTATGATTTTTTTGAGCTCTGACCAGATCTGTGCTTGTTTTGTAACATTTAATCACCTGTACATCATGTTTGGTTAATTTATAAACCCACCAAAACTGAGAATTAACAATAAGATAAGGATTTCAAGAAGCTGATTTAGTGCCTATGATTACAGATAGGGTATGATTTTTTTGAGCTCTCTGACCAGATCTGTGCTTGTTTTATAACATTTAATCACCTGTACAACATGTTTGGTTCATTTATAAACCCACCTAAACTGAGAATTAACAATTAGATAAGGATTTCAAGAAGCTGATTTAGTACCTATGATCACAGATAGGGTATGATTTTTTTGAGCTCTCTGATCAGATCTGAGTATGTTTTATAACATTTAATTACCTGTACAACATGTTTGGTTCATTTATAAAAAGCCACCTAAACTGAGAATTAACAATTAGATAAGGATTTCAAGAAGCTGATTTAGTGCCTATGATTACAGATAGGGTATGATTTTTTTGAGCTCTCTAACCAGATCTGTGCTTGTTTTATAACATTTAATCACCTGTACAACATGTATGGTTTATAAACCCACCTAAACTGAGAATTAACAATTGAAGTAGGATTCCAAGAAGCTGATTTAGTACCCATGATTACAGATAGGGTATGATTTTTTTGAGGTCTGATCAGATCTGAGCTTGTTTTATAACATCCTGTACAACATGTTTGGTTCATTTATAAACCCAACTGAACTGAGAATCAACAATTGAATTAGGATTCCAAGAAGCTGATTTAGTACCTATGATTACAGATAGGGTATGATTTTTTTGTGCTCTCTAACCAGATCTGTGCTTGTTTTATAACATCCAATCACCTGTACAACATGTTTGGTTCATTCATAAACCCACCTGAACTGAGAATTAACAACTAAATTAGGATTCCAAGAAACTGATTTAGTACCCATGATTACAGATAGGGTATGATTGTTTTTAGCTCTGACCAGATCTGAGCTTGTTTTATAACATCTAATCACCTATACAACATGTTTGGTTGATTCATAAATCCAACTGAACTGAGAATTAACAATTTAATTAGGATTCCAAGAAGCTGATTTAGTACCCATGATTACAGATAGGGTATAATTTTTTTGAGCTCTCTGATCAGATCTGAGCTTGTTTTATAACATCCAATCACCTGTACAACATGTTTGGTTGATTTATAAATCCAACTGAACTGAGAATTAACAATTGAATTAGGATTCCAAGAAGCTGATTTAGTACCTATGATTACAGATAGAGTATGATTTTTTTTGAGCTCTCTGATCAGCACTGAGCTTGGTTTACACTGTTTGATCACCTTCACAACATCTTTGGTTGATTTATGGTGAATTTCTAAGCTCAACTAAATTGAGAATTGACAATTGAATTTGGAATCCAAAAAGAGGATTTGTTGAATATTTCAAATTGACCAATCTGCTTCCAAAGATTCTTAATTCAATTGTAAATTCCTAGTTGAGCATCAATCTATCACCTGAGATGGTCCTTATGAATTCATCTTTGAATGGAATATTGGTCATGGAAAAACAGTTGAATAAAACTATTGATCATTTTGGAACCTGTCTGATATTTGGTCACAATCTGCATGATTTTTGTGTATTCTTGAATATTTCAGGTGTTTACAATAATTATGATCTGCAATACAACACATGAAGTGATCTGCAAGTAGCATTATTATATGTGATTTTTCAAAATTGCTGGAGAAGCTACATATATTTCCCAATAATAAATGGTTGTTTTACTAGAAACTGACAATTCTTCACTTTCAATTTCATTTTGATACCAGCTTTTCTCAATTCTTCATTCAACTCTGTTTTGCTTTCTTCTGCTCTTTTGAAACTGTTTCTACAGTAATTTTCAGTAATTCAAGAATTTTTCTTTTTCAGTTTTCATAATCAATCATAAAATGATATGTTCCAATGTATTAATAAATTAATAATTGACACATGAAATGATATACCTATTTGTAGATGAAAAACTAGAAGAGTGGAATTAATGTATTGAGGTTATTTTAAACTCCATGAGAAGCATCTTACATTTTCAATAATATTGAGTTGATTTGATCAAGTTAATTTACTAAAAACTGCCTGTTCCTTCATCCTTATTAAAAACATAATTACATGTTGATGTTTATAAACTGGCAGAAAATGTTCACTAAAAAAAAACTAATTGATCTTGACTATTTCTTGAAACCCTTGAATGAATTGTTCATCTAATTTCTCTATGATATGTCAAATACCTGAGATGCTAATAGCTAATTTAACACTATACAGGGTGATTCAGGTTTTGAGGCACAAACTGTATTAGGAGATAGATCTCATCATTTCAATCGGATAAGTTTATATAAACATTAGTCCCATCTCGTCCAGAAGCGGAGCTACAGGGGGTCAAAGTTCAATAATTTTGTTCAATTAATTGAAATCTCTCGCTTACTTCTTGAGATTTCATTTTGAAATTTGATAAGGTCAATACTTCCTTGAAGATCATCATTTCAAGCTATTTGAAGATTTTCAAAATCTACAGGGTGATAGGTTTTTGTGGGTAGAGGCTCCTTTATCCCCCCCCCCCCAAACTTTTTCGTGGTACGCCCCTGGCATCTTTCACTGATCAAATTGTGTAGATCATTCAAATTAGAGGCTTTTTTGCTTCTTAATTCTTTTCGAGAAAACGAACCGTTTTTGAGATAAATGAGCATATACGGTCTAGGACAAGTTAATTTGCCTATGTTTCACTTAAATTTTATTCATTGACAAAATTCGTTGAGAATACAAATACAATGAAATGTACTCACTAAAATTGCAATCACTAGTCCAATCTTGATTAGTAATGGGAATACGGCGGGTAGAAAGTCGTTTTTTTTCAGTTAAATGAAATGTAAGCTCAATTATCTCAGAAACAGTTCGTTTCTCGAAAAAAATTGGAGGACAAAAAAGCCTTCCAATTGAACGATCCACACAATTTGATCACGAGCAGGTGCCAGAGGCGTACTACGAAAAAGTTTGGGGGGGATAAAGAAACCTCTACCCCCAAAACCGTATCACCCTGTAGATTTTGAAAATCTCAAAATGGCTTGAAATGATGATATTCTAAATAGTATCGACCATACCAAATTTTAAAATGATATCTTGAAAAGTAAGCGAGATAATTCAATTAATCAAAAAAAAAAATTAAACTTTGGCTCCCTGTAGCTCCGCTACTGAACGAGATCAAACTGATGTATATATGAACGTTTCTGATTGAAATGATGAGATCTACCTCACATTTCAGTTTGTGCTCTAAAACCTGAATCACCCTGTATATTTTTGTGTACCTCAGAAATAAGAGATGTTCAAACAAAATGTTTCACTAAGTTTACTCTAGATTAAAATATTTCTTCTCAATGAATATTTTGCTTTCCTTCCAAGAAATAGTTATATTGCTTTACTTTTCTTGCTATTGATGTTGATTCATTGTAATCTAGCATTCCTTTAATTTAAGAATTTTCTTTAGGTTTCATTTGACCTGTTTTCACAAATTCTTATTCACATTCAAAACTGTATCAATTCATTATGATAAGAATAAAGCACTGTGCTTTGTGAAATTCCATTAAATTATTTGGTACAATCACTTATGAATCTCGAATGATTCATTTTATTGCAATTACAAGCATCAGGTATTTGTTTTAACAGGTCAAACAGCAGGTTACGCTGGTGGATACGATCAAACAGGAGCTGGAAAAGCAGCAACTTACGCTACAACATACACACCACGTGCTAATCAACAACAAGCACAAGTAGCTGTAAGTAATATGTAATACTAAAAATAGTTGTGTAACCAACTAGTGTATTAATGAGGGCGATTAATGATCGAGATATTTTAACGTGCGAGCGAAGCGAGCGTGTTAATGTTCGAGATCATTAGTAGCCTTTTAATATACAAGTTGGTTAAAAAAAATTTTCGTCGACTATACAGGGTGGCCCACTTATGCTCGCTCGGACCATAGCTGCTAGGCTGATAGAGATAAAAGAATAAATTTCATCGGAAGTTATCGGAGACTTCATAAGCTTCTCTTCAAAATTATTTTCTAGTATACAGGGTGCATCATGAATCCGGGGTGAATGAATCGATCGTTTTTTTAAATGGCACACCCTGTATATTATTCCATTTTCGGAATCTCTCTCATGTGGGCTTCACAAACCTATTTTGTTTTTGAAGATCAGATGCGACGTTGTCAAGTTATTAACATTTTAATCAAATTTGACGAGAAAACATGAATGTTGAAAAATATTCAGGGAAACTATATTTTCGAAGATTTATGAACGGAACTGGGTATGCAGATACCAAAAGTATGTGTAGAAACTCAGACATTATTTGGGTTCACTCAAAATATACATGGTGTTTTAAAATAAGGACCGAATTTCGCTATTTCCAAATCGCCGAAACTCATTTTTTTCAAATGGATCACCCTGTATATTATTTCATAATCTAAAAGTCCATCCAATGAGCTTTTTGAGGATACCATATAGACCGTATCCAATGATACTCTTCGATAGGTAAATAACGATAAATCAATTCAACTGTACATTTTTATTCAAAAACTATAACAAACAGAGAAAATTCAACTGACAATGACAAGTGCTCAAACTCATGGAACATGTCAGTTCATGAGATGTTCAAAATGTCTTCCATTGATTGAAGTATTTTATTTGGATTTCCTCAATTGTATTCAAAGATTGTGAATAATTCGCGATAGAAAATAACACGTCGCCCCATCTGACGGCAACAACTTGAACACTTCTGAGCGGTTTGTTTTGATGATATGACCAATCAGCACAAACAAAAAACAAATGTGAACCAATAAAAACAAAGTAAACAGGCCGCTTTGACAGCTTTCAAGATCTCCGATAGGTGGCGTACGCTTATTTTCTATCGCGAATTGTCATTTAATTTTATTCAAGATAAGACTTCATCTTACAACTCGAGGATTTTTTCAATGATTCAAATAAATATTGATTGTATTTTTTGCCATCATCAAAAGATAGAAATTCAGTTTATACCAGCTGAATAAAAAAAATATGTCATTGGTAGGGATATTAGGAAATCAAAAATTCCTAGAGACATTCTGCAAAGCAGCCTCTACTGGGAATTTGTTCTCCTTGAATTTAGAGTAGTTTTGAAATACAAGTAGCTCAAAGTAATTCCCACAAATGTTCATAAAGTAAAAGTACCAACGAGCAAACAATATTAGCCCGATTCATAGTATTGCTAGTATCCAAAAAATTAAAGTATTTTAATTGGATTTCTTCAATTTCCTTCGAAGATTGTGAATAATTATCATTTAATTTTATTCAAGATACGAACTCATCTTACGACTCGTAAGATTTTTTCAATGATTCAAATAAATATTGATTTTTCAAATTTTTTTTATTTTTTGCCATCATCAAAAGATGGAAATTCAGTTGATACCAGCTGAATAAAAAAGTTTTGTCGTTGGTACGGATATTAGGAAATCGAACATTTCTAGACAAATTCTGCAAAACCAGCCTATACTGGGACTTACCAGGCTAACGCTACTGTTTACCAGGCGACGTACGCCCAGCCAGCTGCACAGACCACAGTAGCAGCTCAACCTACCACACAAGCTAAGAGTAAGTAATAATTTTTTTTTAAATTTTTTGTTGATTAATGTTGAATGAGCAGGATAAGTCGTTTTTTTTTATTGAAAAATGTTTTTCTACTAGCCTGAGGAAAAGTCCACTTTTCCGCACTCATTTTAGTGTTGAAGAAGTAAATAAATAATTACGTTAAGTTTTTGGGGAGTATACTGACTTGACTAATGTACCTAACCGTTACCACCGATAAAACAAGGCCTGCATGCTCCGTGGGTGACGTCACTTAGTCAGGCCTAACCAGCGGCTCGAAACGACAAGCGCTTATAGCGCTATAAGGCGACCGCGTATTTCGATTTTAGTTTTAGATCATTATTGAGCCGATTTTGCTTTTTTTTTGAAGGGCTTCCGGTTGAAAGAGGATGCCAGCCGTCAACTGAGCCCTTCTTCGCATCCCATTCGATTTTATTATGGAAAAACGAAGTTTCAAAGCAAAAACCAGAATAAAACACAAATACCCACCTACAGCAACCCATTCGAATTGAATATATTGGCAAAAATTGTAGTGATTCAATCTCATTAGAGGTAAACTTCACACCTACTTATACAGGGCCCGCAGAACATAAACTTATCATGAGATTGATCGAAAGAAAATTGGGGAAAATGTATTTTAGTTCGATAGACATGCCGTTTGTTATACCTAATTACCTATATTTATCTTGGAGAATTCCTATTACCTAAAAAATTAGCCAGTGAGTGTTTTCAATTTCCTGTTGTTGGATTTTTTACCCAATTGGTCGTTAGACTTGAAACAGTAATTTTTAAGTAGAGTGTTTGTAGTACATGTTGCCACGAGGCAAATGACCGTTTTCAGAAAGAAATTTGAGAATGTATTGAGTCACCAAAGAGTCCAATGCATTCGAAATATGTTTCAAAACCCTCTTTTTCTGATTATCAAGACATTTTCCCGAATTATGTATCTCGTTTTTATCTATTTCAATTAGTAATTCCTTGATTTGATATTATTAGAGATGAAAGGTGTTTTCAGATTGGCTTTTAGAGATGTTTGTATCGCTAGGTCATACAAAATTGATTCCACATTCAAAACAAAATCAATCACAACCGAATATGTAATTACGGGCCCTGGAGAATAAGACAATTTGAATAATGTGACTTTTTGCAAATCGATAATTTTGAACCACTTTTCGGGCAACTGAAAAGACTAATACAACTAGAAATTCTTGAAATTCTGTGTAGCAAAATGATTTTTGGTAATTTTCGAATTCAGTTTTACTTTTGGTAAGTGCTTGTGCCAAATTTTTAATCTCTAGTATCTCAAGTTTTTCATCACGACTTGTGCGTAATTTTACATCTTTCGATAAATAAGATGGACAGTTGGGAAATTGAGTGGGAATAACATCTCGTTTGAGCCTAGGAATTTTCAAATCTATTGTTACAGTTTTGCCAGTTTTTGAATCGGTTGCAGTAGATGAAGTAATAATATCATCTTTAGTAAAATGTAATTCACATACTTTACTGTACTTAGATGGAGTCGTAAAATCCTTGCGGTGAATTGCATGTACCCACTTTTTCGATAGTTCCTTGTCCAACGGGAAACTAAAAGCATGAACTTTTGGACCACCCACATAATTCCCCCGACAAAAGGGAACACAACACTTGTAAGGCATTGTTATTTCGCCTATCACAACACGTAATATTTCACAAAACAGTAATTTCTCCGCCAATTATTTTGATGAATAAACAACAAGAGAATTCGAGCACACACGCGATTTACCTACGCCACCGTTCTTAAACAAAAACAAACTGACGATCGATCGACGCGAATGCCTTGGAAGATGGCCTGAGTATGCGACGTCACGAGCTGTTTACGTCAGAGTCTGCTGGCCTTGTTTTATCGGTGGTAACGACCTAACACATGCGTATACAGTGTCTTTTCCGAACGCGATTTCTAGCCGAACGCTATTTCGTTCGGCAATCGCGTGATGAAAAGTATCACTTTCCGCGGTTGTTGGGTAAACTACTATTTTCTAATGAAGAATTTTAAAAAATCCATGTCGTCCCTGTTTATGATAATTATCATCTACTAGAGAATTTTTCTTGATTAGATAGATTATTTTCCCTATTAACGGTATATGCTATTGATTGTGATTGATATTGAAATTATGTTGATTGCACATTTGTTTTCAATTTGTTGACATCCATTTTTTTTCTGCATACCAATAAGTTAGCTTGGTGTCAATTGTTGCTCACTGTCAATGAATAGCAAAGAAATAAACACTGCCGCTACGACGTGAATACCTTCAAACAAACACGTGATTTCTATTTCATTGCTCCGCGAGTATCATACCTTTCGTCATCTACCACTTTTTTTTTCTTCATTATCCCATAAAATTAGTGGAAATTTATTAAGGAATACTCTGCAGTAGTCAACTAATTCATATTTGATATCACAAAATACAATATTTAGCAGTTCACTGGAAAACAAAGAGATCAAGAAGTAAGGAGTCTTGCATTAACATAGATATAATTTTCCCTTGTCCTTTCCCTTCCCTAACGACTTTTAACTTTTTTTTTTTTTTTTTTTTTTTATGTTCTGGTTCCCACTGAAAGGGATATTATTATGTTCTAGTTCCATGAAATTCGACATGTTCCTACTACTTCTACGGGTGGCTTCCGGAACTATATGCTATAAGTTCATTGTTTTGAAATGGCTAATTTGCTTGTGTGTATTATTTCGATTTTTTCGAAGTGATTTAAGCGAAGAAAACTTTACTTTTGATTGTTTATTTGTGAACTCTTGTGATTTGAGAGTGCTTTTCACCAGATATTCGTTCAATTACATTAGATTTGCTAAATAAAAATGTCCCAATTTGAGGTTACGTTAGTTGGCATTTCGTTCTTGTTCAGTAGTAAAATACCTATGAATATTGCAAATTAAGTGGAGTGAATATGATTTTGAAGTTCACAGAGTAGGTATTTGAGATTTATATATTGTATAGTCGATTCGTCTACATGTGTTTATGAAATAGAAAAAAATTCTCACAGCTTGGAAGTATGTGCGAATAATTGATCTACCTAGTAGGAAAAATTGAACATGTGCTTTGCTTTTGAGTAAGGATTTCATTTCTTCAAATTCGTACTGTAACTTTTTTACTTTTGGGAATAAAATGCAACTGAATTTAATCTCAAAGTTGAGATAAAATCTTTCAATTATACACTGATTGAAATTATTATTTTCTGTGAAACGCAGCGAGAAATCTTTCAAGAATAAATATCATAATGACCACTATATTTTCGATAAAATGCATGGAAACTTGATTGGAAACAAACATTCAATGTACAGAGTGGCTGAAATTCGAGCCTCATCATTGGGATCTCGTGAACCGTAAGAGATACAGGGTACAGGGTCGATTAAATTATGGCAAAGTTGCTCAATTTGATGCCTAACAGTACGCCTTTCTGAATCTTGGAAAATTCCGTTTACTTTTGGAGATATCCGAAAAAAATCCAAATTTCATGAAACCGTTATAATTTTTTTTCTGGCGTTATTTGAAGAGATCAATCGATATGAATAACACTTTATCATGGCCACTTTTCCTTCCCTACAAGATAGCGTTTTCGAATTTGAAATCCGACGTTTCGTCTTCCAGAAACCATCATCAACTTTTTTTTTTTTTCAATACGGGCCTAGATTTTCTATTTAATATTTCGTTACCTTTGGATAGCTTAAAAACCATGAGTTATCACAAATTTCGATTTTCAATGTTTCGATGAAAAAATTGACAGTTTATTGTTTCAAGATATTCAATCGGAAACTATTTTTGAAACATTAATATTCATCAGTAATATAAATAAGGAACGCTAATCAGCACCTGAACACTGGAAGTATTTCAATGAAACCCCTCACCCCTCCACTGGCCTAATTATTACGAAAGTGAACTTCTGGCAGCCCATTAATAAAAAATATTCCTAAATTGCAAATTTTAGTATGCGTCTTAGCAGGTCGCCCGTAAGCAAGCGCTGGATAATTCTTCCTCTAGCGCGTTATTTCATAAAATATTTGTGTCCCGTGGAATATCTTTGAATAAACGGTTTTTAAAATATCCTCATAAATGAATTATCCAGCGGGGATTGGCGCACAACCCCTTGGTGTGCAATCCCCTGATTGGGAAGCGTTTCATTTAGATACTGTGTAACGGCCCTTCCATTGTGGAATGGTGCGCCATTCTGTTACCACCATTGTTGCTTATTATATTTAAGGGCTCGTCCTCAAGAGGTTCTAAGGTTGGATCAAATAATGAATATTTGAAAGAAATGAAAAAAGTGTCAATTTTTGTAATCGAAACATTCTAATATCGAAATTTTGTGATTACTCATGGTCTTTGGGCTATCCGAAGGTATCCAGACCCGTAATAAAAAAAAACGAGTTGATGATGGTTTCTGGAAGACGAAACGTCGGATTTCAAATTAGAAAACGATATGATGTAGGGAAGAAAAAGGGTCCGAAACTATTCGGAATACTCCAAGTTTCAGAACGGCATTCTGTTAGGCATCGAATTCCACAACTTTGCCATAACCGACCCTGTATCTCTCACGGATTACGAGATTCCAATGATGAGACTCGAATTCCAGCCACTCTGTACATTAGTTACTTGAATATTTGCAAGAGGACGTATCGCTTATTTAGAATCGTCTATAGTATCCAACATTGATAGAAAAAAAAACATGAAATTTCTCCTACTCAACACCAAAAAATGAATGGATTGTCCCAACTATTCATTTTTTCTTGACGTGACACCGGCCCTTTTCAGGATACGACGCCGCCCTGTATTCCGCTGCCACCATGTACGTGGCCCAACAGGCGGGCGGGGGGCAGCCGAAAGGCGGATGGCAGGGGTACAAGGGGGGCGTGGGGGCGAAGAACATGAAGGCCAGAGTGCCGCCCAAGCCGCAGCAGCTGCACTATTGCGACGTCTGCAAGATCAGGTGAGCAACAGTGCAAAACATCACGATTTCGATGATTTTTTTTTTTCAATCGTGATTTTTTTACACTGGTAATTTCCCTAAATATAGGAATAATGAACTTTTTTCTGCAACCGACACAAAAGTCGTCCATTTTGATACCAAAATTAGCTCTTAAATTGACGTTTCTATTACTGACACAAAAATAGGTATGTTGCTAGGCAACATATTTAGTTCCTAGGAGCTAAAGTTGAATTTCAGTTCCTAGGAGCTAAAGTTGAACGGATCTACTGGACATCATCAAGAATAAACAACATTGTGACGGTTGGTTATTTGGGTTGAGACGCATACCTGATTTGTTTCCGATTTTAGCAGATTTGGCATTTCATACCCATGCTGGAGATATAAATACACCTTATTATAGTTCAGTATTGGAATTATCTCAGCTGAGTATTTTTGTTTTGATCAGGGAAGCCTTCAAGATTCAAATACTTGCTTGATCTGTATTTGATTCGTTATTCTCGGGATGGATATCTTGTTTTTGAATAATCACGGCAAGCAATAGTTTTTTTGTTCAAACAACGATATTGTTTAGCTTCATTTGATTATCAAGTCAAACACAGTGTAGTATGGAGAGGAATAAATAATCACTATTATCATTGTTGATATATGCTCACTAACCTAACATTTTCCACGTCTTGTTCCTATAGCTGGCACTGGCGCGGCATTTGCCATTAGAGCACCTGGTCCATACACAAATATGTCACTGTGTTCATATTGAAACTACAATTCGAACATCCTAGAAAACCTAACCTGCTGTTAATGCAGGTAGAATATTCTCACCACATGGATTATTTGCCAATATTTGTTGCATTGCATACATATGGCACGGCATTGTACTTCACATGTTTATTTGAGTTAATTGTTTCGGTTGCAGAAAAAATAGCATGTTTCATTCGGATCGAAAGTGACTTTGTTCGACTCGCAAATTTTGCTTTCGCTCGGCTTCGCTAAACGCTCCGCCTCGCAAATGCAAAATTCGCTTGTCAAACAAAGTGTCACTTTTGATCCTAATAAAACAATCTACTATTTCTCCAATGCAGAAAAGTTACTGCCTAGGCAAAAACCATTTGTTGCTTTACAAAATTCCAAGGAATTCTAATGAAATTAGTTATCAAAATTGACACTGACATTGAGTGAACACAAAATGATGGAGTTTTCAATAAAAAATTACACAAGATTGGTTTTATATCATTTGGAGAAAAAATTCTATGTTTCACACGGCAGTCAATCTACTACTTTTCTGTCTAGTAAAACAAATAACTATTTTCTCTAAATGATATTAAAAGTGGCTTTTCAATGACACTTGATAGGCAGAATAACGGTACTTTTACTGCCTAGGCAGAAAAAGTTTGTTGCTATGCAACGTTCCAAGAAATGATTCGAATCAAATTGGTAACCAAAATTGACACCGACGTTGGGTGAACACAAAATGATGGATTATTTGGAGTTGACGTGGAATTGGACGAATTTGGAGAAAAGAATTATATGTTTCACACGACAGAAAAGCAGATTTAATGCCTTGGCTTTTCTGCCTAGTAAGACAAATAACTATTTTCCTACAACTGACATAAAAACTGCACTTTTTCAATATATTTTATCTACTCACTGAATCCAAAGAAGGCGTTATCTCCCGCGGGAGGTAAAATAAATTGGCTTCAGCAGTCTCTTTATCAATATTATAAAACAAGTAACAATATGATATCCTGTTTGAATTCCAATGATATCATCCGCTTCTTTATATTCTGTACGTATTTCTAATCAAAATTTTCAAATGCAGTTACACAATATACAAATCAATTAATTCATGATGACAGAAGTGTCAAATTGACTTTCGTTCATATGCTGTCAATTGTCCATGGCATACTTACTATACCTTTCTAATGCATAAAAATTTGGATCGAGAGATAGACCGACTGAAGCACGATTTCAAGAATGATGTTTTAAAAAAATGCGTTCGTTGATAAATCATATATATATCATGGGAGCAAAGGTTCATTTCCCCCCATGTGTGTTTAATCAAAAAATCAAACTTCACCCGTGGGATTATGTAAATGGGCGTAAAGTGGCACATCACCCTAGTGCAATAAAGTACAGCGGAAGATCATTAATAAATTTGGAATTGGCAGTAAATAAAATGTATGTATGTATTATAAAAAATTAGGCAGGGGGTTCCATTTTAATAGACGCACCCTGTACATACGTTTCCTTCGCAGCTGCGCCGGTCCTCAAACTTATAAGGAACATCTCGAAGGGCAGAAGCACAAGAAGCGCGAAGCAGCTACCAAAATGGCCGCCTCGGTAGCGGTGACCAGTCAAAATCGTTCTGGCAACTCTTTGAGATGCCAACTATGCGATGTAACCTGTACAGGTATGTGCTTTGTTCTCGTGGCATTTGTTCTTGAGCCACCTTGTAAAGTGCTTATCTATTTATTCATTTATTTCTTTTGCAAAAATTAGATGTTTCCCGCTACAGCGACGTTAGAAGATCGTTAAGCAAGAATTCGTTTTTTCCGAACATATACAGTGTGTCCCACTTACCATGCTCACCATGGGTATCTTTTTAACGGTGAGAGATACGAGGTCGGTTAAATGACACCAAATGTGGAGTTTGTCAAGGCCAACTATAATGTGAAAAAATATTTTGATAAAATCTATTCGTTTTCGTTTTATACGCAAAAAACTGATTTTGATCATTTTCATGTCTCCTCCATAACTTTTTTATTTATGGAAATATTCAAATAGGAATTTCACATTCTCATGGCAGTTTTTCAAAGTGATTTCGAAAAAAATATGAAATTCATACCAACTCTTCTAGAATTTGAGATATCAGCACCAACTTTAGTTTTTCAAATGTAGGTCATAGCGCACTATGACATAGTTACAAATAACTTTTTTTTCTCTCACAGATGATATGTCGCAGTAAAAGGTTTGTGTTGATAACAACGGAGTTATCGTCATTTAAACAAAAACAAAAAATTATTCGGAAGCCGTCATCTCGAATTCATAAATTAAAACTAAAAAATCATGTTCTCCGACCTCAAAAACCCCCACTTACCAATTTTGAATGGAATCGGACCAAATCTTGTCCGCCATCTCGGAGCAGCCATTTTTTTTTAATTTCAACAAAAATTCCACAATGTTTTGTCACCGAAATTATGAACACCTGCCAAATTTCAAGTTAATCGGAGTTAAGGATTTTTTGTTGAAATAAAAAAAATGGCTGCTCCAAGATGGCGGACAAGATTTGGTCCGATTCCATTCAAAATTGGTAAGTGGGGGTTTTTGAGGTCGGCGATCATAATTTCATTGTTGAAAGTTATAAATTCAAGATGGCGACTTCCAAATAATTGTTTGTTTTTGTATAAATGACGATAACTCCGTTGTTATCAACACAAACCTATTACTGCGACATATCATCTGTAAGAGAAAAAAAGTTATTTGTAACTAAGTCATAGTGAGCTATGACCTACATTTGAAAAACTAAAGTTGGTGCTGATATCTCAAATTCTAGAAGAGTTGGTATAAATTTCATATTTTTTTCGAAATCACTCGAAAAACTGCCATGAGAATGTGAAATTCCAATTTGAATATTTTCATAAATTAAGAAGTTACAGAGGAGACATGAAAATGATCAAAATCTGTTTTTTGCCTATAAAACATAAAAGAATAGATTTTATCGAATTTTTTTTCACATTATAGTTGGCCTTGACAAACTCCACATTTGGTGTCATTTAACCGACCTCGTATCTCTCACCGCTAAAAAAATACCCATGGTGAGCATGGTAAGTGGGACACACTGTATATTGACAATTTCTGAAGACCATTATAGTGATGGGCGGTGGGTATATATCCAGTAGCTGGGTATAAATTGGACGTTTATCCGGGTGTTTACCCTAATGATAAGTAACTACCCAAAAGTGGGTATTTATAAAAAACGGTTTGATATTGTCGACGGCACAAAACCGTCGTGTAAACGTAGTAAAATGTATGACATCGCACCAGATAATAGAAAAAGAAGCATGAGAAGAAGAGAAACAGTAATATAACTTCACTTCCACAGTTTCACTTCTATACTGTGCCACAAATCTGAATAAAATGATAGAAAGAAAGATCTAGCTTGGTCTTGATTTACTATAGCAAAAACAATGTTAAATGTAAGAACTGTAAAACCGAATACAAATAACACCCAAGTAAATGTCAAGTAAATGCAAAAACATGAACTAAAAAAGTTTTACATGACATGAGTTTTAGTGATGAAGTTTGTAAATGAATAGAACACCTAGGAATGCTTTATCACAAGATAATGATTCATCGGTTTCATCACCAGTACATCACAATGCGGTTGAAGGGAACACTTATTCATCACCATCAGAACAAGTTGGTCATCGATGTATTATTTCATTAAACGGTCATCGTTGTACCGGGTGATTCATTAAGGGTAGCGAGGTACCATATCTCAGGAACTAGAAGTCGTACGAGGTTGAGAAAAAAATTCTATCGAGGAAATCGACCAAGGAAAATTGCTGGAAATAGTTTTTTTGTTTCTATATCTACCGCTGGAGGGCGTAATTGCTATGGTCGTATAAAAATTGATTTTTCCAGCGAATTTTTCAACATGAGCTGAGGAACAGAAGCTATCACGCTAATGCTGTTAAAATAGTGCATCTTTTTGTTCCTACACTTCTTTTCGTACGATGTGAAATGAGGGCGGTAGACGAGGTTGAACCTTTCCTGACTAAAATACCTAAACCTTTGATTTGACTGAACGGAAATCAGCAAACTTGGTCTCGTTCGAGAGAGTAATGTTTGTTGATTATATTGAAGGAACACCAGTGCCATGCTGGTTCCAGCTGCACTCACTAGGGGGCCTAATTAAAACATTTCTGAATTTTTTTATTTTACCCCAAAATTTTGATTGGAATGATATAATTATGTCATCAGTTTCGGAAAGTGAATGAAATTTGCAAGAAATTAATTCAAACCGCATGTTGATATCTTCATTCGTTTCAAAGTTAAATCTTATGTTCACAACAAATGAAAATCTCATGCATTATATAGGGTAATACAAGTACCAAACACCAAGGTCGTGCTCTTACACACCGAACTGGTCAAACCAATCCCGATGCAGGACCCGGAACTGATGGGCGGGTCCAAGGAGACGGCCTCGGGTGGCTCCAAGATCGAGTTCGTGCAGGCGGACAGACTGTCATTATTCGCTTACAATCGCCGTAACTTTATTGAAAATAAACTTTTGGCACTTTTCATAGAAACACCTTATTCCCATACCTTTTTCAAGTAAAAAAGGTACTGTTCCTGAACAACGCTGGAGGTGATCGTTTTCAAGATATTTACGATAGAGAACATCAGAATGCCGCCCGGTTGAAGGTTGAAACGAACACTTATTCATCAGAAAGAGTCAGTGGTCGAAGGTGAAAAAACGTTTTCAAATGTGGAAAATGTGCCTCTATGTACGATTCTGCGACTCAGAATCTCACAATAGACTTTTTCTTTAAAATACCACATGAATACGTCATATAATATTCTGCAGCTGTTTCGATAAAAAAACTTCCGTATGATTCAATAAAAATCAAAAGTACCACTTAAAACAAATGCTACCGAAATTAGCTATTTTCGAGACAATTTTTTCCACTTTTGGTACGATTTGTTCACTTCCAGGACGACCCTTGTTACTCACGGGACGAATTTGGGTGCCTTGGGCCGTTTTTAAGGTTTGATTTGAATTGATCCGGGTAGAAGGACCAATATGTTCAGCTTGATAGGTAGTGGACTGTATTTGTATGGTAATATATTATGATGATGAAATAAAGATTGATATTGAAATTGCAATTCGTATTGCATCCTTCTTTCTTTCTTTATTGATTTTATATATAGGGTAATACAACTACCAAACTATTAAATACGGTCATACAAATACTTGAAACATGTCGTGTAACATCGGTGTGTGTTGTTGAAGGTGGAAGCAAACACTATTCATCAGTATCAGAACGAGTCAGTGGTCGATCTATTACCTCATTTAACGGTTCTCGTACACATTTTCCTGAGTGAATAATAGTTATTTATGTATTAAGGATCATAAAGACGATCATTATGGTACAAGTCGTGAATGTTATAACACGGCGTGATGATTGTTTATGATTCGTATTACATACAAAATTTTATCTGATGGCATTTATATCAATACATTTTCGAAAAATTAAAAACTGCATTTTCGACATGTCACAATGACAACTATTTTTAAAGGAGTAAGTATTGTGTAGTTTCAAATATTAGTAGGTGAGTGAGCTGTGCTTTGCCATTATATTAATATTACAAATTGTAGTAATTGTTCTTTTACCATTTATAATAAATAGTTTTGTACATAGTTATGCATTTTGAATAAACTTTTTTGATCATACATGTTTTCCTTATAGAATTTCATTATGGTACTTAGTCCCATAATGAGCTTCCTTATGTCATCAAAATTGAGTGACAACGTTGTCATTATGACATGCCATCAGATAAATGTGTTTAAGTGTGGATAATGTGTCTCTATCTACGATTCTTCGAATTTCACGATAAACTGTTTGAAAATTACCACTGGAATTCGTCATAATATTCTGCAGCGGTCTTTAAAAAAATGTTGTTATGGTTTATTGAATCAAAAGTACCACTTAATTCAAATGCTACCGAAAGTGGCTATTTTCGAGAAGATTTTTACATTTTCGGAACGATTTGTTTTCTTTCAGGGCGACCCTTGTTAGTTTCGGTACGATTTTGGGTTCTATGTAGGCGGTTTTGAAGATTCGATTTGAATTCGCGAGATTCACGAAGTGGGCGACAGTTAGGTTACATAATTCGAACTTCAAACTGAGGGAAAACAAACTGTTGTCTATGGATATAGTGCATAGACTATATTGCATACAGCTTGCTGTAGCTGTAGTTGTCAAACTTGTCAATGATAAAGTGTTGGCACTGTTGGTAGTGATGATGGTTGAGTTGGTTAATTTTATTATATTTTTATTAGTTTAGTGAACAGTGAATGTGTGAAGAATTGGAGATAGTTCAAACAATTCGAACTAATTATGACGAGCAATAAAAAAAGTACTGCTCAGTGCAATAATTATATTTCGGAAAGTGTGTCTATGCATTTTTTTCCAAACGATCCAAAGCTAGCCCAACAATACCCAAATTGTCCTACTTTGCAGGAACAAATACAAATCCATCGTTCTACAGGAGTTCCTCTGGACCCCAACTTCAATTTTACTTCATGTGGGGAAGATTTCATCGCCGAAGTTTGTAGACAAAGTGCAAAAGTGTGCCTTTTGTTGAAGTCTTCTGCCTCACACAAAATCACATGATTAGCACGGAGAACTGCTTCTCCTTCCTCTACTGGTCGACTTTTTCCATCTAAATAGAGCAAAATATCTGCCAAAAGAACATCTACAACAGGCATTATTAGCGTTTTCAATGGAATATTGACAATGAATGTCAGGAAATTTATAAACTTAACACTCTTATCAGTACACAGTACACAAGCTAATGGCACTAATGGGATTGAGTGAGGATTGAGTTTGTTTTCTCCCAGTTTTGACGTGGCATTGACATGAAACGATGAAAACCGAGCGCCACCTGATAACATTGATTCCCGCGAATAGATCCGGTTCGAAGGACCAATATGTTCGATGCTTGATAGACAGTGGATTATATTAGTGTGGTTATATGATATATGCAATTACAATTCGTATCGCAATCCTTCCTTATTTATTGACTTCGAACATCGGTGTTTTTTCGCATTTTAAACCAAAAAAAATGGCTACAGAACAAATATTGTAGGCAATGACGCATACGCTGCCCACATCCGCGGTGCCAAACACCAAAAGGTCGTGCTCTTGCACACCAAACTGGGCAAACCAATCCCGACGCAGGAGCCGGAAGTGATGGGCGGAGCCAAGAAGGCGGCCTCGGGCGGGTCGAAGATCGGGTTCGTGCAAGCGGGCGGGATGGGTGGTGCCGCGGCGGGGGCGGACAACGGCGAGGCGGAGCGAGGTGGGGACGAGGACGACACGCCCGAGCCGGACGTGCAGCCCGTCGGGCAGGATTACGTGGAGGAGATCAAGAGCGATGACGGAAAGGTTTGTGTTGGGTTTCGATTTTTCTTTCTACTGTTTTCAGATAAATTATGAATATTAAAAATGGATATAGATGTATAAAGCAATACATTGAGAATTCGCATTCTCTATGTGTTAAGAATATCAACTCTTTTTCATCTTATTCAACAGAAAACAACAACATTTCTGGCTATATGCCACGACGAACATTGACTTATATCTATTGAACACATGATGAGAGTTCGAAAATAAAATATCAAATCTGAAATTGAGAATTTGCATTCTCCTTCAGACAAAAATATGTCTATGCACACATCATTCTGAATATTCAACAGAAAACAACTTCTTTCCTGGCTACTTGCCACGTCGAACATTGAATTATATCTCGAATGATCATCCAAAAGGAGAACATGAGAAATAAAAAATAAAATTTTTTGAAATTCAGAATTGACATTCTTCCTCAAATCGGATGAATAATATGGTCGTGGCCGAGTTTGTCTGCGCTGAAATTCGCTAGATAGCCGTTCACGATGCAGAGGTACCGGTTCGAATCCGGCTATCGGCTGAGCATTTTCTATAAAATGTGTGATTTATGGTTGTAATCCTGGCAGCACCTCGATGCCCTAGAAGTGGTTCGGATTCCACTATAAGCTGTAGGTCCCGCTCTTCCTAACCCCGCACAAGTTTCGACTTCTGGGGAGTTGGTTCCCAACTTTGAAGTAGCGATATACAAATTTTACAATTTTACAAATAATGACATAAAAATATAACTTGCCAATATATTCAGCATACAAATGAAAAGGTTTCTGTTATGTATCAGTTCTTATCTTTCAATTTTTTCATCATTTCCTTCGTTTTTATTTTTGCTTTCTCTGTTTCCATAATTTTTACCGCCTTTCTATTTTTTTTAATATTCATTAACTTATTGTTTTCTTTCATTTGTTTTCATTCAAGTTCTTGAATTTTTCAGATGTTTTGTTGAATTTTTTTTTCTGAAATTTTTTGTCATTGAATTTTTTTTTCTATTTTTATTTTTATTTTTCCAGGTGATCAGCTTCAACTGCAAACTGTGCGAATGCCACTTCAACGATCCCAACGCAAAGGATATGCACATGAAGGGTAGACGGCACCGTTTGCAGTACAAGAAAAAAGTCGATCCTAATCTCGTGGTCGATGTCAAACCGTCCCTCAGACAGAGGAAGATACAAGAAGAGAAAATGAGAAGAGCGGTGAGTGATGCCGCAATTCAATCGATTGATATCTGTGACTGAATATATTTATGAGTTTTTGATTTGTATGGGAATTATATTTTCCGGCATTTTCATGGGATAATCGTGTCAGATCTATCGCGATAGCTGCTTCACGAAAACTCGGATTTTTCTACCAGGCAGACGAACTCGACAAGCGCAGTCAGCACATCTTTTCGTTGTCAACCTCGAAATATGTCGAACACCACGATATTTTTTGAATATTATTGGGATTCCCTTTCGTTCCTAGCCTGGGGAGTACTTATTTTCCTGACTAGGCTGGAGAGAATTACGTCCTTGTTACAGAATATTCTTATTGTATCATTGAAAACCATAAATAAGAACCGAATATTTGGTTAAGTTGAATCAAATGGCCCAATGACTCCTCCAGAGTGAACAGCGCACCATGCAGTCACTTTGAGCGGGTGTAATGGCTCCTTGTGCATCACTCATAGATTTTTGGTGCCCCAGAAGCGCTTGTTCTGCTTTTCCACGTCCCCGCTGAGGTGGAAATGAGCCTCGTCGCTCATTATGATTTTGGTCGAAAAATCGTCCACGAGATTGAGGATGGCTTGGCTTGGATTTATCAGCGTTCTTGGGGAGTGTATCGCTCCATGGCTTGTTCACTTGTATTCTACATCTGTCTAGTTCACGAATGTCAAAACAGATTTGACATTGACCGCCATTTGCAAAAATAAGAGCTACTTCCAATAGGGTGATTTCTTTTGGCCCACCTAGTGTAATAAATGAATGAATGGTACATACAATGAACCAAACTAACCTTGGCTTTCAGTTGATCATCGTAACTTATTTTTGAGACACCCTGTATAAATGAATCTATTACCATAAAAACCGCAGGTAAAGATTGAAATCGACCTGTCCGAGCGTTTTCCCAAGGAACACAGGCCTGACTTTTAAATAAATTTGTTCCATAATACTGCCGCTCACTGTATATCCTAATTTCCCAACTTGAAGGATTAGTTACCTGTGGACAGGTTCGATAAACCTTTATTTTCGGAAATTAGGCACAATATCTACATTGATGGTGGATTCATGCAGCAGATTTAAGTAAAAAGTTTCAAGTCATACGTATTAAGTTATTAGTCTTGAGAAGTTCATTCATTGCTTTTCAAAATAAACGTTCATACAATTTTCATAAGCAGCCATAAGTTTTAAGTCATAGGAAAAGTTGGCCAACATTCATCTCTTATGACTTAAGACTTAAAACTTATGACTAAATTGCTCTGCGTATGAGCCATGCGCTGCCATTTGTAATTTTGGTTTGTTCACATTTGTTTCAATTAAATCAAAACCAAAACAGATATTTGTAACTGCTGAATAATAGAAAAAAATAATTTTGTTTTACCTCAAACATGTAAAAAACTGATGAACAATAAGCAAAATGAGCTAATGAATAGGGGTTCTTTTCCTATGATGACATTCCTTATTGTTGCTGCATGAATCACCATTTTCACCTTAGGACCACCATAAAATACAGTGTACCGGATTAACTTGGATGGATTGATAGCAAATACATGTTATTACCTACTAAGAAAACAAATTCAACAGTGGTGAACTATCGAGTTCGAATTGATCGTTAAGTAAAATGTCAGAATTTTTTAGTTCGTCGATTTCTAGTTGAGTTTCATTCCTTCAATTTCTACGTGTAGAATTTCGAAATTATCATCAAAACTATAGTTCTATCCTAATATATGGTTGTCGTATGTTGGAATTCGTTTTATTTTTCAAGAAATTCATCTTATGTTCATTAATGCGCCGATTAAACGTACGACCTGTCTGTCCGATATATACCTTGGGACAAAATCCACAGTTGAGTTTGTATAACTATTTTTCAGGCGATGAGAGAAGAATTCTGGGCTCGCCGTCACTACCCTGACGGCGACGAGAGCATGTACTGGGACGACCATCGACGCTACGACGATTACATGGGCATGGGGCCCTTCCCCAGAGGCCGGCCCTTCCCTGGAGGACCGCCGCCGGTAAGTCGATTCGTTCGTTCATCGATTGCCGGTGAATAATGTCCTCCGTGAATTACGTTTGTCGACATTTTTTTGGAAATCGCGACAAAATTATATCGCTAAATGAAAGGAAGTCAGAAAATTCATGATTTGTTTTTTTCATCTATTCAAACAAGATCGTGATTTTTTTGCAGCTCTGATAAATACATATCATTTATTTGTAACGGCCTTTATTTCTGTGGCCCTTACTTTGGCGCTCTGTTCAAGGCAGAGACTACTCTGTCTCGAAAGGGGCCATCCTACGTGATATAATCTGCACGTCAGCAACGAACTACCCATGTTGCTGGAAAATTATATTAGGGGGCAAAATTGACGGGAAATTCCGAATTCGTGTTCCGGATTCCCAAGTTGTTATATAAAAAAATCAGCCCTCAAAAATTTCAATTCGTCTCTGCTGGCGTGCTGTGAATATCACAAAGGGATGCCTTTTTTTGTGCATTGAGTTAATTTTCAGTGCATCTATCAATCCAGAAAATTTCATATTTCTACGTCGAAAAATTCGGAAGAGTGAGATAATTTGGAGTTTTTCAGTACTGATGAGAGTTGGAATTACACCAGATATTAAAACTAGGAAGGTATTCTTGATGTAATTCCTATACAATGACAATTTACTACAGTATACACGTTACCGAGATATTCACATGGTTCCATACCTTTTTCAATCACTGTATATTATAAGATACTGAAAGTTTAATATTATCTATTGGATTATTATCAATAAATGGCCTAATTAATAGATTTCGTTGAATAATCATGATGAAAAGAGCGAGCCCCCGCCTGCAACGGCGATCGCGCGCGAAATTTGTATTTTTTTTTGCTGACTGACGGACGTTGTCCCGTATAATCGATGACTGACCATTTTTTTCATGATTGATTTAAACACAAATATCCTCACAGAAATTCCGAGGTGTGGTAAATGAATTGCAATTCATTTATTTTTTGCATACATTGGGGCTGACTGACCAGCTCCCGTCCCTAGAGTCCCTAAATGTACTTGACACTGCTGATTTTGACGTTTTTTTGTATATCAGAGTCATATACGTATTAATAATCAATACGGATAATCTCTATCTGTTTCCATAGCGAAACATGAAGCCGATTTTTGAAGACAAATGACTATCCATAAGGAAAAGTGAGATACGATCAGACACATACTGCTTTGATTGAAAGGCTAGTAAACGTCATTGTCCACCGAAACGCATGTCTTTGATGACTACTATAATAGCGCATGGCGCATGCGTATCATGCCACCAAATCCTTATGGATATTCATTTGTTTCATATTTTTGGCTTCATCCTGGCACCCCTTATGATCCGTATTGTTTATTAATACGTATATGATCAGAGTACGGACACTATGACAAGCACTGACAATCAGCCATAACCACAAATAAATTGATGGAAAAAGCGGGAACTGACAGTACACGGACGTACATGACATAAATTTCAAAGGTTTGACAAATTGAGAGAATTAGGAGAAAGAGGCAAGTTTGTGCAGTATGCAACTGTGAGAACACAGGAAATCAATTCACTCTATTCGAATTTCCATCGGATAACGTAATTCTACAAAAATGGAAACAGAATATGATGCAGCCGGCATGGAATATAGCCGAACCCACAATTTATAAACTGAGCGAATATCGAAAAGAACCTTATTCCAATTTAGACTCTGGTTATTGCTTGTGATGGAATGATGGAGCAGAGATCACAATAGCCTCCATGGAGATTATGTTCGTTAATCTGATGATGAAATACCAGAAACTTCTTGAATTGACTGACTCAAACTGATTTCACATCCCTGTTCAACCAAGAATTCTTCAGATCATCTTCGTATACGAACTCTAATAATAATTTTGTGAAAACATATAGTCACTTTGTGGAACTCTGATGTACCAGATATTGATGTATTTATATCAAAGAGTTGAATATATTGTTCGTGTATCACTTCTTCAAAGTTGAAGTCCCAAGTCTGAATGTGCATGTTCATGCGTAGTAGATAAGTGCTAGACGACTACATAGCTCCAATAGTGGATTTTGAACCACTTCTTGGGTACCAAGATACGAGCAAGATATTATCAGAGCATAGAACAAGAACGCTCAACAAGTTCACCATTTATGTTAGGTATTGAAATTGATCTTCCGATGACCGGGTTCAACCAACAATCCCCTTTAGCAATAGCAATGTGAACGACGATCTATAGTGAGTCGAGCGCTGAATGAAGTCTATTTATACCTACTTCAGTATGTCTTGGAAAACCTATAATATTTATCCTAACTGAAATCAGCTGTTATTGTTGTTCATCATTTGTTTATTAATTACTAATAACTTACCACTCTTGTACAAGTGAAATTGTTCCACACTCAATAAAAATATGTTTCTTGAAATTTATCAGTTTTCACCTCATTCTGAACATGGGTGATAAACAAATATTCAACTGAACGAATAAGAGACTAATTTCATAGGAATACTCTATGTAATTCGTTGATGTATATTATGTACCTACTAACTTGATATCGACCTACATTGAGGTCTTTCAGCCTTATCATTCAATATTTCGAGAAGAAATAATTTTCTAATCCATTTATCGTACCCTTTTACCCACTCGAGGAGACGCTATGCCCTCTCATACAAAAATCAAAGACAGAGAAAGTTATATGGATGTACTCTTCCCAGGACTTTTGGAGGATGGAAGATGCGAGGATCCTTTATCTAAGCGACAAACATATTCATGTCCTTGTCTCGCAAAACATATGATTTGCTTCAAAATCGTTTGTGGTTATGTTTGATTGTCTCTGCTTGTCTAGTGTCTGTACTCTAATATACAAAAACGTCAAAACAACAGTGTCAAGAACATTTAGGAACTCTACCCGTCCCCACAGTCAGCTGACTGACTCATAACTTTCATTCATATGCAATATACAATGTGTATAATGATTTTCAGCCTTAGAAAATTCATTGCATTACCTCGGTAGGAACGACAACTTCGATAGTATACCAGAGACACCTGTTCTCAGTTTCGCTCGACTGACCGCAGTATGTTTGTGTACAAAACTATTGTAATAAACTGAAAAAACTAGGCTTAGTAAATTCAGAGCATCTTTTTGACGCTGATTCTTAGACTGTATCTCTCGCCCTTATCGTTTCCAGTTCTTCCAAGGCGGCCGCCGCTGGGAGTCGAGCGACGACCGTCACGTGATGGCCCGCCACGCCGAAATCTATCCCAAGGAGGAGGAGCTGCAAGCCGTGCAGACCGTCGTGTCGCACACTGAGCGCGCCCTCAAAGCGGTCTCCGACCAATTGGGCGACGGCAAGGCCAAAGAGGCGGGGACAGGGGGAGGGGGCGTGGCTGCCGAGGCGGGGAAGGGGAAAGGGGAGGGGCTGAAGGAGGACGGGCGGGACAATCAGCTGTGAGTGTTTATCGAGCGATGGGGTCATTTTTTGGGCCATTAACAGTGTATATACCGGGTGAACAACTAGGAACGGCTGTCATATCTATCATTCTTTCAACTTTGATAGTTGGTATCTTCCGTTGGCGGAAAGCTATCGGGAATAATGCGAAATTATTATTCACCGATACAGATTCATTATTGTATCAATTCATCGATAACGACATTTATGGACACATTAAATCCGACATTGGTAGGATCAGCATGATAATATCTACGGTATTCCGTTGAGGAATAAAAAAGTTTTAGGAGTTATGAAAGATGAGTTTTCCGGTGGAATAATGTCCGAATTCATTGGGTTGAGATCTAAAATGTATAGTTCAGAATCTTCAAAAGTGAAAGTGAAATGCAGCAAGATATGAAACGAAAAAGACAGGAGCTGGAAGAACAACACCTTAATGTACAAGAAAATCGAGAAGGCTATGAGCAAGTTAGGTGTCACAAAAAATTAGGTGTTCAAAGAGCTGCACTGAAAACTATTACTTTTGAAGATTATTATAATTACCTATTGGATAATACTCTCACTTCCCATGGAAGCACCCCGTATCTCACGTAATTATTGAGGTACGGTCTAGAAATTTGAAGGAAGAAGGGTAAGTCTAAAGATAAAGTCAATCACGTAAGATACGGGGGTGCTTTCGGAAAAAGTGTGACAAAATTTAATTTTTCAGAACTGAAATTTTTTTCAGGAAAAATATGTATAGTTACTTAATTGGGCGTCCTGATTCCGAATCTGAAGTGATTTTCGACCTATTTCGATTTTTAATATCGTTTTCCGGAAATTGTGGTGGTTCCATGGCTGTTAGCGAGCAGTGTATATCACTGAAGATGACCCCACTTGGTCATATAGTGCGTTTTTGGTATATCTCTCGCACCAGCAAATATCAGGATCCTTAGCCAACGATTATGTAAGATACAGGGGTGTTTCTATTAGAAGTTGGTCACACTGTATATACAGGGTAACTTACGGTCCATGGCACGTTAGACGTTTACGAAGAACGGGACATAGGATCATTCTGAAATTTCGGTTACTCACGTAGTTGCTTTTGGTCTATCGATTTAAAATATTTTCAGCTCTGCGGCGTTGCCGCTTCTATCGAAAAGTAGCAACAACTTTGTTATTTTGAATGGAATACCCTGTATTTTATTGCATTTTCAGATTCTCTCTGAAGAGCTGATTTCATGATGAATCTCACTTGGGGTCTAGCGGAAATGATTACAGGGTGTGAAAAATTGACAGTTTTCAACTTTAGTAATTTTTTTTGTCGAAACTATTCATTATTGGTCAAAACGACTCACATGTCCCTATCTCAACTTTTGATCAACTATCTACTGACATTTGATTGAAACAAATACAGGGTGGTGCAGAATTCAGAATCTTGATCACCCGGTATATGTCCCAATTAAATATCAGTAGATAGTTAATCAAAAGTTGAGATAGGAACATGTTAGCCGTTTTGATCAATAATGAATAGTTTCGACATAAAAAATTCCTAAAGTTGAAAACTGTCGATTTTTCACACCCTATATCTCTGTAATCATTTCCGCTAGACCCCAAGTGTGATAGATCGATGAAATCAGCTCTCCAGAGAGAATCTGAAAATGCAATAAAATACAGGGTGTTCCATTCAAAATAACAAAGTTGTTGCTACTTTTTGATAGAAGCGGCAACGCCGCAGGGTTGAAAATATTTTAGATCGATAGACCAAGAGCAACTTCGTGAGTAACCAAAATTTCAGAATGATCCTATGTCCCGTTCTCCATAAACGTCTAACGTACTATCGACCGTGAGTTACCCTGTATATCTCCGCAAAATTAAATTGTGTTAAAAACTGTATCGATAATTTGAGTTTCTCTGGGGTAGGCAATGCATGTGAAGCGACTTGAAACAAAAATCAAAAAAGGGGATAATATTTCATTTATTTTCTCCATGAAAAAGAAGCAACATTACAAAACAATTCAGGAGACCAAAATGTTGTATTATTAGTTGGTCAATAGGTTATGGAGATTCAAAATTTATAAAAATTAGTGGGGCACATTTTATTGACAATAATATTCGGTAGGTTGCCGCCCGGGACGCCACTGGATTTCATAATTCCAATTGAATTATGGCTATATCAGCCCCTCATGACAAAAAATATTATTGCCTTATTTCAAGAAAATCGTTGGATGGACATTCCCAACAACATATAACCTCCAGAAGTTCAAAAAAAATTCCAATACCTACCTCCTATCCCTATCCTCCCTAGGAACGCACGATGTTCTTTGAACATTATAGGGATTCCCTTTCGTGCGCTCCAAGCGATAAAAAAAAAATTCGAGGTATTCATAAAAAAACGATTTTTAATTTAAAGTTTAACACATTGTATGTTGAAAACTATGCATTTCCGGACCCACGCACAAATGAAATTAATTTCTCATTTTATCATGTAGAATCACCCCATTGATTTTTTGCGCATGATTTCCGGATACCCTGTATATCCTACAAAAAAGTACTCACACATTTTTTTCCGTCACAAAAATGAAATTATTTTTCGTTTTTCTTCGCTTATGTTCTCTTTCCAACAAGGCCGTATATCCCTGTATATCCTGCAAAAAGTACTCACAAACTTTTTTCCTTCACGAAAATGAAATTTGTTTTCGTTTTTCTTCGCTTAGGTTCTCGTTCCAGCAATACCGTAGAATCACCCCCATGATTTTTTGCTCATAATTTCCGGACACCCTGTATATCCGGCAAAAAAGTACTCCACACTTTTTTCCGTCACGAAAACTTATTTTTCGTTTTTCTTCGCTTAGGTTCTTGTTCCAACAAGACCGTAGAATCATCCCCTAGATTTTTTGCTCATAATTTCCGGACACCCTGTATATCCCGCAAACAAGTACTCACAAACTTTTTTCCGTCACAAAAATGAAATTATTTTTCGTTTTTCTTCGCCAAGGTTCTCGTTCCAACAAGACCGTGACGCCAACGCCAACAGACTGCTGAAAGGCGTTATGCGCGTCGGCCATTTAGCCAAAGGGCTAATTCTGCGCGGCGAGTCCCGCGTCGAATTGGTCGTTTTGTGCGCCGACAAACCGACGCTGACGCTCCTCAAGAAGGTGAGTGTGGAAAGTGATGATTTATTTATCAATCATTATGAAGTATACGCCAACAAGCAATCCTTAACGCCAAACAAGTTTTTTTTTTGTTTTTTTTTTATTGATACTAATGATATTTATTTCATTCTTTAACTTTCCATCCATATACCAAGGTATTCGGTATGGGCAGTTTGTTTCAATCTTTAATTTTTTATTCTAATATTCAAATCAATATTTCGTATATATTTTTGATGGAAAATTATATGTAGGGTCTTGTTAGAATTAAGGGAAAGAAGATTGGAGTATAGCCATTCTTCCATTTTCTTCAAATCCTCATTTATGTTGGTTTCTAAAATTACAGGGTTTCTGTTTTCAAATAAAAGTACTGTGTCATCTGCATATATGGCATAGTTTCCTATTAATAGTATATTATGTAACAAGTGTTATAAACGTCCTTTTAGTAACGAGTAGTTAAAGCACGAGCGGAGCAGAGCGGAGCGAGTGTTTAATAAACGAGTGTCTAGAAGAGTTTATAAACGCGTTACATACTATGATTTTTCTACGAACTCCGAAAATTACATTAACATACCTGCAATTCCTGCTGACCCTCAAAATAATTCGAAAGGAATGGGAATTGAGAACATAATACATGCAACTGCATGCAACCAGCGAGACACGTATAAGTGATATTGGTTGTAGATGTGTCCAGTCCATTGCTTACTAACCTTTGTTTCACGTTTATTGTCATGCTTAGCGCAGAATAAATAAATTGTTCTCAAAGATGGATGCTTAATTTTTACACTTCTTGGAGATATGCAAGTACCAGAACATTCTCTTCGATTTCACTCTCGTCTACTTTTCGCATATATTTTTAATGAAGAATTCTGATACAAACGAATATTGTTTGAATAATTCTGATACAAAATTCGAAAATATCAGTTGACAGTTAATACAATTGACAGGCCAGACATGTCTCAAATTACTGAAGCTGTGTTTAATGAACTGTGTTGCCATGGTAATGTGTTTAAGAAATCGTGTTGCCATGGTAACGTGTTTAATATTTCGAATAAGGCACAGATCGACAATCCGTGATTAATCGATCATTTAGCGTGGTACATATCCGTACGCTAAATGCCATTTTAGTTATGTGAGTAGAAAAATTTATTTTTGAAATGTTTTGAATATATAAAATATTGTAATCTAAAACATGGTTGACTGAATAAAATTGTGAAACACACAATTTAAACATAAGTTCACACGTATATTTATGTTTTTACATTTTGCAATTGGTTATAAAACTTGATTTACCGCAAATGAAAACGGACTTCACGATTTATTAAGTAGGGCATGCCATGTATGTTGAAATCCAATGGGGAACTTCAGAAATATCAGTTAATTCACACTAAAGGACATTTTAACCGGTAAAGGTGACAACACGGCGCACGAATTGTGGGCGTAGTCTGGTCAGTTGTCAGCATTAAACGCATGTTGCCAAGTCTCCAACGTTTGCATGATATTTTGTTATGGGGTATGAGGAATATTTGGACATGCTGGTTGCTCGAAAAAGTTACAAATGCATTATAATGTCATGGCTTCCTCCTATTATGTTTTATTCAACGACATGACTAATATCTTTCTGATAACTTGATTATAATTGGTGACTCGACAACCTTGCTTCATTAGGTGGAATGGAAGATTATCTGAAAAATAACGGAACAGCATAAAAACTGACGTTATCATTTATTCGACGTATCGCAGAACATGGCCAAATGACGGTACGTTTGAAATGAAATCTGAAATTCAACAATTTCAAACAACGCATACACTCATTATTTACATGAAAAAAGACGTGAGTAGTGTCACCAAAATCAATTTAGGTCTCTATCGATGCAGTGGAGTAATTGAATGCCAATAATTCATTATCAGTCCACTCGCTCATTGAGATAACACAATCACAAATCTGTGATAAAGAGGTCTGTCCAATTTTCCATCTTCCAAAAGTATGAACCCCCTTGATTGGGTATGTTCGTTTTTCGACATTTGACAGGTGGTGGAGCAATTGCCGTCCGCTTTGAAGAAAGTCGCCCCCGACGAGACCTACAAGGTGACCATCAACGCTTCCGAATCCGGTTTGAACGTGACGGGCAAAGAGAAGAACGTGCTGGTGCAATTCACCAGTCCGGTGATCAGGGAGCAGCCAGGTATGCCGGGTGGGGGTAAAGAGGAATGCGGGTTGGGGGGAAGTAGGAGGAGGGAGAGAGGTGTGACGATTGGAGGCGCGCGGGGCTTCGAAAGTGTTGACGTTTCAGCCGGGTTCCGAGTGTTGGAATCGAAATGTTCGTTGTTGGATTTGAGGAGTGAGAAAGAGAGATGGGAGGATATAGGTGAGGAGTGGGAGAAGAGATAGATTGATGAACTGAGAAGGGAGAAGAAACTTGAGAAGAGAGATAAAGAAATGAGAGGATTTTGAGAAAGGAGGTTAGAGTAGGGAAGGAAGGAGAAAGTTGTTGGTTGTGAGGTTAAGATGAAAGTATGATAGTTTAGAGAGAGCAGCAGAAGTGGTATAGTAGGGAGAGAGTAGGGAGAGTGATAGGGACAGTGAGATAGTAGAGAGAACAGGGAGAGTGGTAAAGTAGTGAGAGCAGGGAGAGTGGTAAAGTAGAGAGAGCAAGGAGAGTGATTGGGTAGATAGAGCAGTGAGTGATAGGGTAGAGAGCAGTAAGTGATAGGGTAGAGAGATGTGAGTAGAGAGAGCAGGGAGAGTGATTGGGTAGATAGAGCAGTGAGTGATAGGGTAGAGAGCTGTGAGAGTGATAAAGAAGAAACAGCAGGAAGCGTGATAGAGTAGAAACAAGAGGAAGCGTGATGTTGTAGAGAGACCAGGGAGAGGATTAAGAGTGAGATTGTAGAGAACAGGGAGAGTGGTAGATTAGAAAGAACAGAGAGAGTGATAGATTAGAGAGAGCAGGGAGAGTGATAGATTAGAGAGAGCAGTGTGAATGATCGATTAGAGATAACGGTGAGAGTGATACAGTAGAAGGAGCAGGGAGTAATAGATTAGAGAGAGCAGGGAGTGATAGATTAGAGAGCATTGAGTGATAGAGTGAAGAGAGTAGTGAGCGATAAAGTAGAGAGATAGCAATGAGTGACAATATAGAGAGCAGTGAGAATGATAGAGTAGAGTGCCGTGATAAGTGATATAGTAGAGAGTGCAGTGTGAGTGGTTGAGTAGAGAACAGTAATAGTGGTAGAGATAGAGAGAGGAGAGAGTGTTGAAAATATAGTTGCACTGGAATATTTGAATGTTTATATCAAAATGGAGAACCTATTTGAAAAGTGTTTTGGAAAAATTTATTTGTAATCATTACAATGCAACCTTGAACCTTGACTCATTGGACTTCTCTTATGTGTTATTATCACACTAATGCCAAATTACAATTGATTGTTGAGTGAATACTATTAATTACACAAATTATGTATTTTTAGTGAAAATTCTATATCAATACTAACGAAAAATATTTGGAATCATTTCCCTGAAGAAGTTTCCAGATAAAGTTCATTGAAATGATTCATTAAAAATGTTATCGTTTTATTTTCCGATTATATTTTTAATAATTCAAAACAAGTCAAAATTATTTGGACATTTCCATATTTATTTATTTATTTATTTATTTATTTATTTATACATAATACATCCAACAGGCCGGAGCCCAATTACAGGAGTATATAATAATAGTTATAATAAGAATAATAATTACAATGAACCAATGTAGGTGAACAAATGAAAATATATATCTAGTTCGGAATAAGAGTGTACAATTGCTTTCTGAACTGGGTTAAATTTGAAAAAAATATATCTACAGAAGGCACATTATTGAGGCTTCTACACATAGATGTGATAGGACTATTGAAGTGATGTTGTGAATTTGGAACATCGATTGCTCCCTGATAATCATTAATAATTTGGCATTGGTGTGAATTGTTTTGTATAATAGTTGAGTTATTTATTCCACTGTGTAGTGTCTTTTCCTTTTGTTGGTCAACTTGAACAAGATATTCCAGAGGATATCTAGATCAATAAATTTAATTACCATCTAGCTTCTGCCTAAACGTCAACTGCATTTTTTTGTGAAATACCGTTGTAAAACGTTCAATTCAGAATTCATTCAAGGTTTTTAGACCTTTTGAATCAAAAACAAAAAAAAAGGAAAAGGCACCTCGTCAATTCGACATGTCCCGCGAGGTCCAATAGTCAATTCGACAGGTCTTCCGTGCCCCTCTCACACCCATTCTCCCCCACCCCTCTGCCGTTCGCCCAAACATGTTTCTAGGTGGTGTGGGACCAAGGATTTTTGACCAACCTGCCCTCTGCGCCGCCTCATCGTGAAAATGGAGGCGGCGATTGGGGGGTGGGAGATGGTCAAACACCCTTCCGTTTTTTTTGTCGGTGTCTAGAAGCTGCGAGCGGCGGATTCGACCGGGATGTGCTGTCTCGAGGCAAGTGTCTCCAGGCGCTGGCAGCGCTCAGACATACCAAATGGTTCCAGGTTTGTGTCCCTCTTTCGAAAGAAGAGCGAAATTATCTCTCACACCGTTCTCAAGCACTATTTGATCCGTTTTCGCGATGTTTTCTTGGGGCGTACGCAGGTTTTCTGCGGGAGATGGCTTTCGCGGAATTTGCTGAGAAATTGACCGCCACTTGGCTTGAACCTCACACTAAAGGACAACAAAAGAAATCACCGCGATTCATTGAAACGTATACGCCAAACACGGATAAATGAATGAAATCACGAATCGTGGGGATTACTGCGGAATTATTACCAGAGAATCGATATTCTTCCTAGATATTTTATATATCTTATAAATACGTGTTTTGACATAATAATACGCCAGTACGTACCAGAAAACAAGTTACTGAAACTTGACCGAGAAATATAATCATCTACAAGTACTTAGCTTAAAAATTTCGATAAAATTAAGTCATGAACGAACCCTCACTAGTAACATTACGTGAAATAAAATCATGCACAAGCGCTTGGCTAGAAAATCATCGCGAAATGAAATCAAAATTCGTTTAATAAATGACCGCGAAATAAACTGTCTCCAGGCACTGGCAGCGCTCAGACATACCAAATGGTTCCAGGTTTGTGTCCTTCTTAGGAAAGAAGAGCGAAATTATCTCTCACACCGTTCTTAAGCACTTTGTGATCCGTTTTCGCGATGTTTTCGTGGGGCGTACGCAGGTTTTCTGCGGGAGATGGCTTTCGCGAAATTTGCCGAGAAATTGATCGCCACCATGTAAAAATTTACTGCTAACTTGACTTGAACCTCACCTCAACTAAAATTGAAATCAACGCGATTCATTAAAAAGTATACGCCAAACACGGATAAACGAATGAAATCACGAATCGTGGGGATAACTGCGGAATTATTGCAAGAGAATTGATATGCTTCCGAGATATTTTATATATCTAATAAATACGTGTTTTGACATAGTAATACGTCCGAGAATACGTCAGTTCGTACCAGAACAAAAAGTTACTGAAACTTGATCGCGAAATGTTATCATCTACAAGTACTCAGCTTAAAAATTGCGGTAAAATTAAGTCATGAACGAAACTTCGCTAGTAAAATAACATATAATAAAATCATGCACAAGCACTTGGCTAGAAAATTATCGCGAAATGAAATCAACATTTGATTAATAAATGTCGGCGAAATAAACTGTCTCGTTCCAGGTTTGTATCCCTTTTTTGAAAAAAGTGCGAAATTATCTTTCACACCGTTCTTGAGCACTGTTTGATCCGTTTTCGCGATGATCTCTTGGGGCGTACCTTCTCAGGTTTTCTGCGGAAGATGGCTTTCGCGTAGTTTGCCGATAAATTGATTACAACCAGATATATTGAAACTAAAAATTGACTGCTGAATTATAATATATTGACAATGTATTCGTCAACAATGCTAAACGCCAAACACGGATAAATGAAGGAAAACGCGAATGGTGGGGATGACTGGCTTGGCTATAACATTTTAAGAACTTGCCTAAAAATCACCGTGAAATGGAGTCATCAACACAAACTTGGCTAAAAAATTACCGCAAAATTAGGTCATCTGAACGAAACCGTGTCTAAAAAATAACCACAACAAAAAGTAATGGTAAATTATTGCACGACTCAAATTAGTCCTAACTTAATATTGCCTTGAAAATTATCCATGTGTTCATATACAACTTAACGTAAATATTTACGCATGTTCAGAATCATGTATGAGCTGTACCAACACTGTAAAATGAAGGAGTACTGCTGTACTAAACTGATGAGTTCACTGTCGGCAACCATAATGTTATAAACAAAATAACAGTATTTTAAAAATTTTGAAAAATTACTTGAAAGTTTGAGCAGAGTGTTCGAGGTTATGGATTATTAAACCTAACTATCTACAATTTCTGTTGGCATCAATGCTGGACCATGCGCAGTACGCGATTTGCACGATGAAATGTGAAATTAATTTGAAAGTTGGCCAATTTTCTTGAGTTACACTTGAATCCTTAAGTTGCGTGCATGAACGTTATCATCGATTATTAGAATTTCAGCTTCTCAAAGTTAGGGCCAGGTTAAGTCAGGACTAAGTTACGTCGTGCATAAATTCACCATAACTGAAACAATAACCGCGAAATGGCATCTACAAGTACTTGGCAAAATGACCGCGTAATGAAGGTAAATTAACCTACAGACAGTATTACTAAAAAAAAAAAAAAAATTACCGCTGAACAAAAAGTTTTGCGAGGAAATGACCACAACAAAAAAAAACAAATAAAGTAGTCAACAATAACTTGGATACAAATTTACTTCGAAATGGTAACGTTAAAACTTGTATCATCACCGCATGAAAATTTATGGCAGAATATCATTTTTTGTCAGACATAAGTGGTGGATTTTTTTCAGCAAGATATACCCGAAAGCTATATTTCTGGAAAATGTGCGGTGTCCTATTATTAGTGATGATGTGAGTTTTTATTTTGATAGTCTAGGGAATCGGAGTTCCTACAGTTCTTTCTGGTAGATTTTATAATTTTGCTAAAATTAGAATCATTCTTACTTCTATTCCCTTTCTTTGAGTTTCTCATTTTTACGTTCATCATTACAATTATCAAGAATTATTTAGAAACTTGAAAAATCACATCTCATGTATATTATGTATCGTTCTGAATCTTTCTAGGGTTCTACATTCTAAATGTCAGTAATCGGTGATATTCTTTCAATTTGGAAAATTGGGTTGTAATCAAAGTTGTGAAAATTCAATGAACGTCTTGGTTTGAAATACGTTGAATTCACTTTTCCTCCTTCCTGAAATCACTATCAAAAAAACCTAACCCCCTTGCTAGGGTAGGTAGAACATTGCAAAATAAGTTGGGTTTGCTCAGTAAAAAATGTCGTAACGCCATCCGTTTTCAAGATACAAGCTGTTGAAAAAATGATTTTTTTACACATTTTTCAAGATTATGTCGAAACAACTGGCAACATTGTGTTGAAGTTTTGTATGGATGTTTCTTGGAATCTGACACATTGCATGCGCATGCATTCGTTTTTATACCTGACTCATAGAGGGCGCTAGTTACACGGTTCGTACTGAGTATTTTTGAACATAACTTTTTTGAGGTTAGATTTTCCAATTCAAATCTGATGTGAACTTGAACATCATTCAATTTCACACCAAAAAGGTACTCTTGGTAAAACTCGATACTGTGTTCCGTTTTCGGAATATTTCGATTTGAAAATGATGAAGTGATAACTGTTGCTGGTATAAAGTTATGTATTAGAGTGAGTATTAAGAAAAATTATCATCTATTTATTGAAAACCGAAAACAACAATACATTCCTGATGCTAAACTTATTGATTTAACAATGAATCACAAGAATGACATCAAAACAGATGACTAAGAACATGGATTACACAGTTTTGTTTTATCTTGAGCAGAAAGTCTATGCTACATAGGTAAATTCACGTCACGTTGTAAGACATAACTGAACATCACTTAAATGACCTAACAGCTGATCCTCAACTGTTTAGAAGAATAATACATTCTCAATAAAAGAATATAGAATCGTGAATTCATCGAAACGTAGGACATTTTGAACACTTACTCTAACTGATTCAATATTTCATGTTTCTAGTCAAATATCTCTTAATTTTCTACTTATGATTCTTTGTTCCATCAATAACTTCAGAACAAGAATAATTTTATTGTTTTTGAATCTGAATAAATAGGTAATTGAACTTAATAAAATTCATTTTATACCAGCATCATTACTACTCCATTATTTTCGAATCGGAATATTCCGAACATAGTATCGAGTTTCACCAAGAGTACCTTTTTGGTGTAAAATTGAATGACGTTCAGGTTCATATCATATTTGGATTGAAAAATCTAACCTCAAAAAAGTTATGCTCTAAACTACTCGGTACGAACCGTGTAACTAGCGCCCTCTATGAGAGTCAGATATAAAAACAAATTCATGCGATGTGTCAGATTTCAAGAAACATTCATACAGAATTTCATTACAATGTTGCCAGTAGATTCGACATAATCGTGAAAAATGTGTAAAAAAATCATCTTTTCAACACCTTGTATCATGAAAACGCATGCCGTTACGACATTTTTTCACTGAGCAAACTCAACTTATTTTGCAGTGTTCTACCTATCCTAGCAAGGGGGTCAGGATTTTTTGAAACACGCTGTATATTCAAACAAGAAACATTTGATAGTGTAATTTTTCGTGATACTCACTTTGTAAATTGCTCTATCTGTCGTTCGGTTGCCCTCTTACGAGCAACCCTCATAAATCTTCAAGAGACTTGTGCGAGCAAGGAATCACAGGGGTCTTACCTTTCAACGTGTGATCCCAAACACTTTCTTGGGCCATCAGAAAAATGTCTGCAGTCGTTTGGATTGTGCATACGAGTAAAAAGTGTCCAGATTTTGAAAAAAATTGGGTTCAAAGCAGTGAAAAAATCGTATTCTGAAAGAAAATACGAAAAGCTAGGGGCGATATTTCTGGATTTCGAAAAGTTGTTGCTTATAATGCATACATGGGAGTTTGATGATTCATTGAAAAATACGTTTTACTTCAAGAAATTACACAGAATTGATACATGCTGATCCAAGACAATAGAAAAAAAGAATCCAGATCGAGTCGTGTGATTTGCAAACACCAAATTACAGCAGCTTCATCGATGATAGGACGAGGTTGCTCATCTAGTATGAAAATTAACAGCTCGAAAGTCCAATTTAAAATAACAACCCAATTTAGTAATTCGAGTAAATCGTTTGGAAACTTGAAAGTTAACGGTAGAACCCTTAGAAACCCCAGTACCTTCCGAATCGACACCTGACGATGGTCTGTGATTTTATAGGCAAGAGCTTCTGGACTGCACTCTTGCGTCATCATTATTCGCATCTTGAGGGATTTGTGTGAAAGAGTTCCGACATGGACACCATTCACCTCTTGGGTAAGTGCAAACATTTTAATGAACAAACATTTGATGAATGTGAAATCTTCACAGGCCATAAGATTTTTGCAAAATTCTTATCGTTCGTGAAGTTTTCAAATTCACTGTTGCACGGCTAGTTCAGTATCACAGGTCGTAGGTTATTGTTGTGGGTAAAAACAGCTCAACGAGCGACACTATTCAGAATCGGCGATAATTCACAAACACTGACTGGTTACAAGTATATCCAACAAGGATTCAATTTACCGGGTTACATGTCGATGTTTTATACTAAAAATGACGGGACCCTTGTAGAATTTTATTAACTCAGGGCTTCTTGACATGCACACCAGTAAGCGCCACTCACAAAGTGATCTTGAATTAATAGAGGTCGAGTATCGGCCTTAGATAAATCATTCTAGGTTGGATGATATTGATTCATGTTAATTTTAATCTGTGGAGTTTTGATTAGAGTAAAATTAGCGCCCAACGTAGGGCGAAATCGGTATAGTTTTGAATTGACGGCCGTTACTCGATGGAAATCCATGGCAAATGTATAAACTCATCGTTTGTGAAGTTTTTACAAATCTGTCCAGAATAGGGGTAATTAGTATAGGTTGTCTAGTAACTAAGTATTTAGTTTTTTTTTTCATCATCTTTATTATTCCCAAGAAACAATTGACGTAACAGGGAACATAAAATAAACCATAATGTATTACATTACATTTAAAATGTAGTAGGAATAGGTATAATAATTATTCTAGTTATACAAATTTGTTCAAAATTGTTAACGCCACGAAGTGTTGAAAAAAGAAAATTCCTTGAAATGTACAGTCAAAATCTGTCTCTTCATCTATTATGATCTAGAATCCATATCCGTAACTCGCTGCATTTTTCGTGCATTCTGCATAAGCACTATGTAATAACATTCTTGAATGAATGAATAGCCCAAAAACACGATTCCTATGCTGGAATAATTGTAAAAAACTTCAATCCTTCGTGAACGAACAAGAACAGTGAGGTTGTTCTACCTCCTGGATCGGTCATCTTGTATATGTGCATGCGATCTATACCACAACACACCTAACCTTTTTTCATTAGTAATGTCAAGCTTTCACTTCCAGTCAGCTGCTTATGATCTAGAAGGCACAGGTTTGACTTGTCCTGGAATACTGTTCCCATATTTGGAGTGCAGCACCCAAACATACCCTGCCATTCGTCTTGTGGGTGATGCCTCGCTCACAAACTCACCCACTTTTCTGGAACACCGTAGAATAGTTGGCGATCTGGCTCTATTTTATAAATATTTTCATGGACGATGCTTTTCTGAAATATCAACAATAATAGTTCCTTCCTTGACAGTCTCCGCGAGATTAACCCGTCGAGTTGAGGCTTCGCGCCACTTCATGGTCACTTTGGAGACCTGCAGAACATCTCTTTCCAAAGACTCGTTCATCCAACGAACAGCAAGACTCTGGAACACATTGCCAAGGGAGATGTTCCCCGAGGCATATAACCTCCAGAAAGTTAGGAACACCAATTCCTACCTTATTTCCCTTGGTTCTCACGATGTTCTCTGAAAATTACAGAATATCCATTTTTGTGGGAACCAGAACTTGAAAAAAAACTTGAAAGTACGCAAGATAACATACACCCGTAAGCCCACTACCAACGCGAACGTGAAAAATCGTGAAATGCGCATGCGTAGCTGTCAATTTCTGCATGTTTCCCCGTTTCCAGGCCCTGGAACTGCTGGCCGAGAAGGTGATCTCGTCCGTTCCGGGCCAGGCGCAACTATCGCCCGGCGAAGCCCTGCGCCGCATCATGGAAGCGGTGGCGGGGGGGCTGCTGCTGCCCGGCGGGCCCGGATTGGCCGATCCCTGCGAGAAGGACAACCCGGACGCTTGCGGCGCGCTGACTGCGCAGCAGCGCGAGGATCTGACCTGTTCCGCGCAGCACGGGCTAAGGTTGATCGCTTACCGGCAGATACATAAGGTAACTAATGGTTTGTCTTCGGTTTGAAGGTTCCTACCGACTGCGCCAAATTGTATTATTTTGTGTTAACTATTAATTATTCTAACGCTGATCGCTTACCGGCATTTACATAAGGCAATTGTATGGGTTTGGGTGGGAGGGTTTTTGTTCGTTTTGAGTTCGGATCCTACAGATTGCCCTAAAATATACTTTTTTTCCACCGAAGATCTGACGTGTTTCGCGCAGCACAGGCTAAGGTTGATCGCTTACTGGCAGATACCTAAGGTAATAATGTATGGATTTGTGTAAGTTTCGCAGGTCCCTAACGACTGCGCCAAATTACACTTTTGAAGTTTGTAATGAGTTTGAATGAGAATCTTGTTAACTGTTGACTATTCTAAAGTTGATCGCTTACTTACTGTTATTTTTCACCTAGCCCTAGGATCTACCAATATTCACTAATTTTTCACTAATACTTGCACGAGAGCTCTATTGTCCAAGCAAATTTGACATTTCAATGGGAATTTTGTTGCAACAAAACTTCTATTATTAATAATTGTGAATGTCATCACTACACTGTGTTTCTGTTCTTGTTTACTTTTCTCGTTCAAATAGACGCGTTCTTGAATGACCTCGCGTGTTCAGGGCTCACAGGCAAGTTCAAGGCTCACAGGCAAGTTCAAATGTATTTATATTTCGTATATAATTGCAAGAACATTACTGTAGGCTGAAACGTATTTTATTTATATCGATTCGAATCCTACCGACTGTGCCTAGTCATACTGTTAGACATTTCATTACGTCAAATCACACTTGCACGAAATCTTACACTTTTTGCAAAAGGGTTGTTTCTCTCTTTCTTCCGATATCTAGTAAGTGAAGTCTTGGATAGAGGTTGAAACCCGGCCTTAGATGAATCATTCTCAGTGAGATACCGATAGATTTTGAAACTGACACCAATCACAAACGACATCAAACTTTCTGACCGGTTAGTGGGTTGAAAATCGGCCTTTAGTGAAATTGGGCGCCCAACGTGGGGCATTCGTTTGAAGACTACTATTTCAGCGTTGCTTTTTCATCATTCTAGGTTTTGGGAATGGATCCTCTGCCAAGAAAAGTTAGAGACGACAGGTTCGGAAGGAAACGTCGCCGGTCTGGTGAAGAACTAGAAGGTACAGAAAGTAAGTTATTTCCACTTGGAAATTTTATGCAATTTCAACGACTATTTCACGCGGTTATCAAATGAACCAATTAAGAGCTCAAGTCAAGCATTATCGATAACACCGAACTTGACTCTTGACTCCGACCATTTATAAATGGAATAATACAAACAATGTTTTTCGTTCGATTTCCATGTTTCCTGTTTATCAAACTTCATCCTGCCGGATTTCAGACTACCTTTCTCTTTGTTTATGTAGTGGTCTGATAAAATTCCATTCCTGATTGAATTCATTTGATGAGCTTGTCTTTCATTCCAGAACTCAACTGGATTGGTTCTAGAAAACATGTTTTCATGGAAACAATTCAGTTTTATGAAGAAATGAATCGACAGACTTATCCCGAAAATCCCATCTTGTATTATTACTAATTTCACCCATCAGTCTTCATCAAATAGAGTGTGTCTAGAAAAGTAATATGGTAGAAGCCATATAGTTTTTGTTCCAGGAAATTATGGTTAACTGAACGATCTCCTTTTTACGGACACTGTAGAATTCTGTATATTTTTTTTTTCTAGGTGATACTGGAAAAATGGTGAAGACAGAAGTTGTTGACCCTGTGACGACTCCTGCTAAGTGAACTATTGAATCTTAATAGACAAATATTATTTTTTACGCGTATTTACATGTATAGAAATACTAATCTTTTTTGGTAATTCATGAATCAAGAATGTCACTTCCTTTGTGTAGTAATTTGTGTGACTGAGATGAAAGGACACTCCAGAATAATGGCTATTTTGGTTTTCTATATTCAATCTACAGTTTACTCATTCAAATTTGGATGAGATTTTTGTGTATGGATTTAAGTTAATAAATAATAAAGGAATAGTTGAAAATGTTGTGTTGTTATTGAGTAATAAATTCGGTATTGGGATAACGGATAATATTGAGAGGAATTAAATGAACCAGAGTTGAGCTGCAAATATCGATCACTATACAGGGTGTCCCAGAATAACGTTAATATATTTCGGGAGGTAACTCCGCAAACAAAATGAGAAAAAATGTCCCTATCAACATGTTTTTTCTTATTTTTATCTGCAGATTTATCTCCCGGAGTATGCGAACGTTATTTTGGGACACCCTATATAAAGGGTGTTCCAGCAAGAGCGCTGGATTTAATAATGGAGAAAAACACACATAAGCAACTTTTTTTTCAACATAAGGAAAAATAGTTTTCCTCGAACGTCAACTCACGTGGCCTGTACGTGACAGCTGTCAAAAAATTACCGTAAAACTCATCAAAATGGCGGCAAATTCAAACCCGGCGCTCTTGTTGGGTCACCCTGTATAAGAAAATATACAATCACTTTGATAAAAACTTCCAAAACTGGTTGACCACAAGTTGGCGCCAAATATCACTGATAAACCTGTTCGTTTTTTGAGAAACACTTTAAACAATAGTTGGCACCAAATCTAAGTAAAAGTATCAAGAAACTTGATACTGATTCAAAAAACTGTTTAAAACTGGTAGTCTCCGTTGGGCGCCATCTGGTTTTAATCATGAAGAAACACACATGAGCATTTTTTTTTCAACAAAGCAAAATATTTTTCCTTGAACGTCAACTCACGTGGTCTGTCCGTGACAGCTGTCAAAAAAATCACCGTATAACTCATATTATCAAAATGGCGGCAAATTTCCAAAACTGGTTGACCATAAGTTGGGCGCCGAATATCACTAAAAATCTGATGGACCTGTTCGTTTTTTGAGAAACACTTTTAACAATAGTTGGCACCAAATCAAAGTAAAAGTATCAAGAAACTTTATACTGCTTCAAAAAACTGTTTAAAACTGGTAGTCTTACGTTGGGCGCCATCTGGTTTCAATTATGAAGAAAAACACGCAGTTTTTTCAACAGAAAAATAGTTTTCCTTGAACGTCAACTCACGTGGTCTGTACGAGACAGCTGTCAAAAAATTCACCGTACAACTCATCAAAATGGCGGTAAATTCAAATCCGGCGCTTTTGTTGGCTCACCCTGTATAAGAAAATATTCGATCATTTGGATAAAAACTTCCAAAACTGTTTGACCACAAGTTGGGCGCCGAATATCACTAAAAATCTGATGAACCTGTTCTTTTTTTGAAAAACACTGAACAATAGTTGGCGCCAAATCAAAGTAAAAGTATCAAGAAACTTGATACTGCTTCAAAAAACTGTTTAAAACTGGTAGTCTTACGTTGGGCGCCATCTGGTTTCAATTATGAAGAAAAACAAGCAGTTTTATCAACAGAGAAAAATAGTCTTTCTTGAACGTCAACTCACGTGGTCTGTACGTGACAGCTGTCAAAAAAATCACCGTACAACTCATCATCAAAATGGCGGCAAATTCAAATCCGGCGCTCTTGTTGGCTCACCCTGTATAAGAAAATATTCGATCATTTGGATAAAAACTTCCAAAACTGTTTGACCACAAGTTGGGCGCCGAATATCACTAAAAATCTGATGAACCTGTTCGTTTTTTGAAAAACACTTGAAACAATAGTTGGCGCCGAATCAAAGTAAAAGTATCAAGAAACTTGATACTGCTTCAAAAAACTGTTTAAAACTGGTAGTCTTACGTTGGGCGCCATCTGGTTTCAATTATGAAGAAAAACACACAAGCAGTTTTTTCAACAGAGAAAAATAGTTTTCCTTGAACGTCAACTCACGTGGTCTGTACGTGACAGCTGTCAAAAAGATCACCGTACAACTCATCAAAATGGCGGCAAATTTCGAAAACTGATTGACTACAAGTTGGCGCCGAATATCACTAAAAATCTGATAAACCTGTTCGTTTTTTGAGAAACACTTTGAACAATAGTTGCGCCAAATCGAAGTAAAAGTATCAAGAAACTTGATACTGCTTCAAAAAACTGTTTAAAATTGGTAGTCTTACGTTGGGCGCCATATCACCATAATCAGAAAATAACATCCATATCAAATATCAAGCTATGCTAAGTATGTATAGATTTTATTTTCAATACCTTTGAAGTTCTTCAAGTGGCTCAAACTAAACAAAATGAAATTATAACCTCAACTCCAATACTTTTATTAGTAGTTCCTAAAATCTTGTTCAAAACTTGTTATACAATTTATTCATATCTACTGAACAGGGGTTGGACAGCAGTATCATAATCACCCCGAGAATATTTTCAAAAATGCCTGCATAAACGCATCCACCAAAAAAACCTGCTCAAGAAAAAAAAATCAAAATCAACACCCTGTCAAAAGTCTAAGAAATATTCAATAACGTCAAATATATAAAATTATTACTCTATTTCTTAAATGTACATAATATTATCACTCCTGTACACGCATCCAATTTATCTGTCAAGAATTCAAAATAATCACCTTGTGGTCCTTTAGTGACTCTATGGAGTGGTCAAAGTTGATACTACCACGATTTCCCGTCAGGTGGGATGGCATCCTGAAAAATATAATGAAATACTTCTCAAATTGTATCACTCTGTTGAATAGGAAAGTAATTTTTCAGTGTCCAAATTTTTAGCCCATTTGGCACTTACAAAAAATTTTCCCCTTATACCGGGTGTCCCAAGTTATCGTTTACAGGCAATTTCTCGCTTATTTGACAAGATAACTGAAACATTCATTCATTGAAACTGCATTGAATAGCATTGAAGTACTTTTCAAAGGACATATAAAAAATCTATTACCTTTTTACTTTCAAATGGCACTCCCTGTATATTGTCATTGAAAATTACATGTCATTCAATATGGAATACAACAATAGTGTATACTTGGTATTTTTTATCAATAACAACAAGAATATCAACATTTTTGACTTGTTTCAAGTTACTTAATTATCCTTATGAAAATGAAGAATTGCCTCCCCTCATGTTTTTTGTTTCAAAAAGGTGATACTTCTAATGTCACAATAATTTTGAACACTTGCTGTGATTTTTAGTTCATTTTTTGATTGGCATAAAAGAAAATTTCAGTTGAAATTCATACTTCATTAAATATTGCTGTTTTTGTTATAATAATAAAAAATACCAAAGTATTTGCTATCATTGTATTCCTTATCAGATGACAGGCAATTTTTAATGACAATATACAGGGGAAATTCATACTTCATTAAATATTGCTGTTTTTGTTATAATGATAAAAAATACCAAGTATTTGCTATCATTGTATTCCTTATCAGATGACACGAAATTTTTAATGACAATATACAGGGGAAATTCATACCTCATTAAATATTGCTGTTTTTGTTATAATGATGAAAAATACTAAGTATTTGCTATCATTGTAATCCTTATCAGATGACACGAAATTTTTAATGACAATATACAGGGGAAATTCATACTTCATTAAATATTGCTGTTTTTGTTATAATGATAAAAAATACCAAGTATTTGCTATCATTGTATTCCTTATCAGATGACACGAAATTTTTAATGACAATATACAGGGGAAATTCATACCTCATTAAATATTGCTGTTTTTGTTATAATGATGAAAAATACCAAGTATTTGCTATCATTGTAATCCTTATCAGATGACACGCAATTTTTAATGACAATATACAGGGGAAATTCATACTTCATTAAATATTGCTGTTTTTGTTATAATGATAAAAAATACCAAGTATTTGCTATCATTGTAATCCTTATCAGATGACACGCAATTTTTAATGACAATATACAGGGGAAATTCATACTTCATTAAATATTGATGTTTTTGTTATAATGATAAAAAATACCAAGTATTTGCTATCATTGTAATCCTTATCAGATGACACGCAATTTTTAATGACAATATACAGGGGAAATTCATACTTCATTAAATATTGATGTTTTTGTTATAATGATAAAAAATACCAAGTATTTGCTATCATTGTAATCCTTATCAGATGACACGCAATTTTTAATGACAATATACAGGGGAAATTCATACTTCATTGAATATTGATGTTTTTGTTATAATGATAAAAAATACCAAGTATTTGCTATCATTGTAATCCTTATCAGATGACACGCAATTTTTAATGACAATATACAGGGGAAATTCAAATTTCATTAACTATTGATGTTTTTGTGATAATGATAAAAAATACCAAGTATTTGCTATCATTGTAATCCTTATCAGATGACACGCAATTTTTAATGACAATATACAGGGGAAATTCATACTTCATTAAATATTGATGTTTTTGTTATAATGATAAAAAATACCAAGTATTTGCTATCATTGTAATCCTTATCAGATGACACGCAATTTTTAATGACAATATACAGGGGAAATTCATACTTCATTAAATATTGATGTTTTTGTTATAATGATAAAAAATACCAAGTATTTGCTATCATTGTAATCCTTATCAGATGACACGCAATTTTTAATGACAATATACAGGGGAAATTCATACTTCATTAAATATTGATGTTTTTGTTATAATGATAAAAAATACCAAGTATTTGCTATCATTGTAATCCTTATCAGATGACACGCAATTTTTAATGACAATATACAGGGGAAATTCATACTTCATTAAATATTGATGTTTTTGTTATAATGATAAAAAATACCAAGTATTTGCTATCATTGTAATCCTTATCAGATGACACGCAATTTTTAATGACAATATACAGGGGAAATTCATACTTCATTAAATATTGATGTTTTTGTTATAATGATAAAAAATACCAAGTATTTGCTATCATTGTAATCCTTATCAGATGACACGCAATTTTTAATGACAATATACAGGGGAAATTCATACTTCATTAAATATTGATGTTTTTGTTATAATGATAAAAAATACCAAGTATTTGCTATCATTGTAATCCTTATCAGATGACACGCAATTTTTAATGACAATATACAGGGGAAATTCATACTTCATTAAATTTTGCTGTTTTTGTTATAATGATAAAAAATACCAAGTATTTGCTATCATTGTATTCCTTATCAGATGACAGGCAATTTGTAATGACAATATACAGGGGGAGTTTATACTTCATTAAATATTGCTGTTTTTGTTATAATGATAAAAAAGTACCAAAGTATTTGCTATCATTGTATTCCTTATCAGATGACAGGCAATTTTTAATGACAATATACAGGAGAAATTCATACTTCATTAAATATTGCTGTTTTTGTTATAATGATAAAAAAGTACCAAAGTATTTGCTATCATTGTATTCCTTATCAGATGACAGGCAATTTTTAATGACAATATACAGGAGAAATTCATACTTCATTAAATATTGCTGTTTTTGTTATAATGATAAAAAATACAAAGTATTTGCTATCATTGTATTCCTTATCGGATGACACGAAATTTTTAATGACAATATACAGGGGAAATTCATACTTCATTAAATATTGCTGTTTTTGTTATAATGATAAAAAATACCAAGTATTTGCTATCATTGTATTCCTTATCAGATGACAGGCAATTTGTAATGACAATATACAGGGGGAGTTTATACTTCATTAAATATTGCTGTTTTTGTTATAATGATAAAAAAGTACCAAAGTATTTGCTATCATTGTATTCCTTATCAGATGACAGGCAATTTTTAATGACAATATACAGGAGAAATTCATACTTCATTAAATATTGCTGTTTTTGTTATAATGATAAAAAATACAAAGTATTTGCTATCATTGTATTCCTTATCAGATGACACGAAATTTTCAATGACAATATACAGGGGAAATTCATACTTCATTAAATATTGCTGTTTTTGTTATAATGATAAAAAATACCAAGTATTTGCTATCATTGTATTCCTTATCAGATGACACGAAATTTTTAATGACAATATACAGGGGAAATTCATACTTCATTAAATATTGCTGTTTTTGTTATAATGATAAAAAATACCAAGTATTTGCTATCATTGTATTCCTTATCAGATGACACGAAATTTTCAATGACAATATACAGGGGAAATTCATACTTCATTAAATATTGATGTTTTTGTTATAATGATAAAAAATACCAAGTATTTGCTATCATTGTATTCCTTATCAGATGACACGAAATTTTTAATGACAATATACAGGGGAAATTCATACTTCATTAAATATTGCTGTTTTTGTTATAATGATAAAAAATACCAAGTATTTGCTATCATTGTATTCCTTATCAGATGACACGAAATTTTCAATGACAATATACAGGGGAAATTCATACTTCATTAAATATTGCTGTTTTTGTTATAATGATAAAAAATACCAAGTATTTGCTATCATTGTATTCCTTATCAGATGACACGAAATTTTTAATGACAATATACAGGGGAAATTCATACTTCATTAAATATTGCTGTTTTTGTTATAATGATAAAAAATACCAAGTATTTGCTATCATTGTATTCCTTATCAGATGACAGGCAATTTGTAATGACAATATACAGGGGGAGTTTATACTTCATTAAATATTGCTGTTTTTGTTATAATGATAAAAAAGTACCAAAGTATTTGCTATCATTGTATTCCTTATCAGATGACAGGCAATTTTTAATGACAATATACAGGAGAAATTCATACTTCATTAAATATTGCTGTTTTTGTTATAATGATAAAAAATACAAAGTATTTGCTATCATTGTATTCCTTATCGGATGACACGAAATTTTTAATGACAATATACAGGGGAAATTCATACTTCATTAAATATTGCTGTTTTTGTTATAATGATAAAAAATACCAAGTATTTGCTATCATTGTATTCCTTATCAGATGACACGAAATTTTTAATGACAATATACAGGGGAAATTCATACTTCATTAAATATTGCTGTTTTTGTTATAATGATAAAAAATACCAAGTATTTGCTATCATTGTATTCCTTATCAGATGACACGAAATTTTCAATGACAATATACAGGGGAAATTCATACTTCATTAAATATTGCTGTTTTTGTTATAATGATAAAAAATACCAAGTATTTGCTATCATTGTATTCCTTATCAGATGACACGAAATTTTTAATGACAATATACAGGGGAAATTCATACTTCATTAAATATTGCTGTTTTTGTTATAATGATAAAAAATACCAAGTATTTGCTATCATTGTATTCCTTATCAGATGACACGAAATTTTCAATGACAATATACAGGGGAAATTCATACTTCATTAAATATTGCTGTTTTTGTTATAATGATAAAAAATACCAAGTATTTGCTATCATTGTATTCCTTATCAGATGACACGAAATTTTTAATGACAATATACAGGGGAAATTCATACTTCATTAAATATTGCTGTTTTTGTTATAATGATAAAAAATACCAAGTATTTGCTATCATTGCATTCCTTATCAGATGACACGAAATTTTTAATGACAATATACAGGGGAAATTCATACTTCATTAAATATTGCTGTTTTTGTTATAATAATGAAAAAATACCAAGTATTTGCTATCATTGTATTCCTTATCAGATGACACGCAATTTTTAATGACAATATACAGGGGGAAGGCATTTCAATATTGAAAGTGGGGGATAGATAGCTGCCAGAGAACTGCCAAATGTAATAAATTTTTTTATGTCATCAGGAAGGTACTTCAATGTCATTCAATGCAGTTTTTGAATTTTTCAATTATCTTGTCATAAGCAAGATATTGCCTGTATATGATAATTTGGGATACCTGGTATAGGGGTTGGATTTCAACATTTATATTGACTACAGTGCCCAAAAATAATTTCCTGTAGTGAATATTACCACACCTTTTTCAGTTGCATTTCAGAAATCCTCAATTCAATTTCAGAAAGCTTCAGTTGTATTTCAGGAAGTATCAATACAAATATTTATTTACTTTCCCTTTCCAGTTTTTTATTCATTTATTTTTAGGCTTGTGAACATGACATCAGTTTTTTGTCTACTGAAAAATGGAGTTATTTTTCTTCCCTAAATATACAGGGCATTCCTAAGTTCAAGTCACAAAAGCATATAGAAGATTCCCTCCATAAAAATATGGAAAAAATCGAATTCCTTATAAAATATTCAGTTTTTAAAAACTTGAAGTTTCCTCATCATGATTTATAGGTTTACCTAGAAAACAGTAAGCAACCAATTTTGGGTATAATAATGAGATTTTTTCTCATTTTCATGGGAGAAATCTTCCTTAAGCTTTTGTAACATGAATTTAGGAACACCTGTTATCATGTTTCTGTGTTGAATTGTTCAGATTTATTTTCCAGAAATATTGTTCTGTCAAATGTTGATTCTTTCAATTTGAAAATTTGTTCTCATTAATTCTCAAAACATTTTTTACCAAAAATTGTGTCCCTACTGATAGAAAAAATTTCAAAAAATTCTTGAAAACATGTTTCCCTTATATTACTTTCTGTTTTTAGGTCTGACCCAGAAACTTTTTCCAGATTCTTTTCCTACATCTGTATTGAATTTTCCTTGACTTGTTTTATGTTTCCTATATGCCCATTCACTTCTCTCTTGTCTGCATTGATTCAATTTTCAATCTCAAGAAATACTTTTTGAAAAACAATGAAATTTCAAAACCTTTATTTTCCATTCCTTATATGTAAAAAACCAAAGAAAAACCAAACAAATGATTTGCCACTGTCAAAATTATTATTATATCAATATCTTATTCAGGATAGAAAAAGCAGCATGTTTACTTTGTGTTCATTGGTTCACATTTGTTTTTTGTTTGTACTTACTGGTGATATCATCAAAACAAACCACTCAGAAGTGTTAAAGTTGTTGCCATCAGGTGGGCAATGTGTTATTTTCTACTGTGAAATATCACAAAATGCCTATATATAATCCTTCTCCAGTGGTATAATATATTAAATTGAAAAAAAAAAACTGCTTCAAGTCTTACCTGACTATTTTCTTTTTGTGATTGGTTCCTGACAAAAGGATTGTGACCATTCAAAGATTGAGGGGGTGAACCTAGCTGATTGAAGTGTGACAATTGATTTGTCAATGCTATTGTACCTTCTTCAACCACAGTCACAATAGTCCACATGGGATCTAAGAAAGTACAATTGAATATAAACTGTCACATTTCAATGGCTCAAAAACACCTACCTCCAAAATAAGCACCTTTTGGTGTGCACAGTCTCCATTTGCTTTGGTATATTCCAGGTACTGATGGACCAGTCATATTCACAGATAAATGCATTCCCTCTCCAGGGCTTAGACAACCTACTGGAACCCTATCTCCACCTAGGCTGACACCATCAGAACATTGAGCATAACAGCCTTCTGGCCACATTTCATTACCATTATTGTAAATGTGCCAGGTTTTCTGAAAGCTAAAATGAGAAAACTACATAAATTTACTCCTATAGAATCATTACTAGTGAATATCATACCTCACATTAGGCTCTATACTTTCTGTGTCATTTGCTACTGGATCTGAAACCAATGCCATTGATGGCAACTGGTTAGGAGCTTCAACATCCAAATAAGAACATACTGCAGCTTGTAGGTTCCTACAAAATATAACTCATTAACCTCTAGAACATATGTACCAAGAAACTAGTACCAGTTGTTCATATCCAAAAAGAAAGTGGCAGTTGAATAATTCAAATGGCTTCCCAGTAATTTCTGAAGTTGTCTCACCAACTCATCTTTGTCTGTTGTACCCATGCAGCTGAACTGTTGCAGAAATGATTGTTCAATGTCTATTCCTGTTACTTGTCCTTCTGAGCCAGCATTGTCGATATCCATGTTGGTGAAGTAGATCAATCAGCACCCCGAAAATTGTTCCAACTTTGTGTTTATTTGACCAATAGGTACACGTACAGATTTTGATAACCTTCAGAATACCTCACTGATTAAGTTGTGATAAATCTGTGCAACTTCATGTTATCAAGAGAGGTACCTAATTACATTATTTGCTGTGAAAGAAACTTGGTTTTTGATTCACAAAGAAAAATTATTCAGAAATAAATACACATGTCACATCAGAAATATCAGAATAATGTCAATAATGGAATATTCTAAATGTCACTTGTCTGTTATCACAATTCGAACATAAAACAGCTGTGTGCCGTGCCAGATTTTCCAAGAATCCAAAATCCAAGGCCTCGACTACTACACAATGAACTCTACATTCAGTTCATTGCTACTACAAGATTGATAAGAAGTCAAATGGCCTCATTTCAGCGCAAACTGACGTTGCTGACGTTTTTCAGGAAATATTAAAGTGTCTTGAGGCAGGAATATAGAGGAGTGTTGGCTTCATTTTGACAGGCTAGTGTGCGTTTTTCATTCGAACATTATTTCATTCGCATGAATCCAAGAAACCATTGTCAGCTGAATATGGAGAAAAAATACAACTCACTGGATTTTTCTTCATTTTTAGCAGATAATAAAAGAAACCATCGAACTGCAAAATTCTGCTGGCAGATTGATGAAAATCCATCAAACTGTTGTAATAAAATGCGCACTTTTCGGCCTGTTCCTTTGTGTTTGCTCTGCCTGGTCAATGACGGCTAAATATCTCCGTCAGACAGTCTAGATATTTAGCCGTCATTGACCTGATAAAAAATTTGATTTTTTCTATGACTTTTTCTGTTTCTGGTTTACATTACATTACAGAAAAGGCTTGTTCGTTTGTATTGCTGAACTGGCTAAAGTTGATCTTTTTCCCATAGTTGTCTCTGTTCATGCCATGATGTAAACAAAGAAAGTCATAGAAAAAAATCAAGTTCAGCAGGTTGAGCAAGCACAAACGAACAGTCCTAAAATGACATGAACCGATGGATCGAACACTTTCATTTATCTCTTGGAGCGCACGAAAGAAAATTCCTATGATATTCGGAGAACATCGTGCGATCCTAGGGAAATCTTCCAAAGAGAGCTTGATCACAAGCGAAAACACCATGAGTCAGTGAATCATTTCATTTTACCGCCTTTACCCGCCATCATTTCAGAACGGAATAAAGCTGACACCCATGCTACGGTCCTGGCTCGACACGCTTGTCATTCAGTCAATGTCATGTGTCATGTCACATGTCATTCCCAAATTTTGTCAACAATCAACAAACGAATCAAACGATTTTTGATTTTTTATTTATTTAATCTGCCAGATCACTAAAGAATGTCTTCTGAGCTTGATAATTGGATTGAAATAGCAAAAGAGTGTAAATACCTTCCCGAAAACGATTTGAAAAAGTTATGTGATATCGTGTGCAGTATTTTATTAGAAGAATCGAACGTACAACCTGTTTCCACTCCAGTGACCGTTTGTGGAGATATCCATGGACAGGTTGGGCTCATTCACAATTTCTGTCTTATCATACTATACTCAATCATTGATCATTGTAGTTTTACGATTTAGAAGAGCTTTTCAGAAGAGGTGGACAAGTGCCTGAAACAAACTATGTTTTTCTTGGAGATTTTGTTGATAGGGGTTATTACAGTTTGGAAACGTTCACAAGACTGCTCACTCTCAAAGCCAAGTACCCTGATAAAATAACGTTACTAAGGGGCAACCATGAAAGTCGGCAAATAACCCAGGTATATGGATTCTATGATGAATGTATGACAAAGTATGGAAATATAAATGCCTGGAAGTATTGTTGTGCTGTTTTTGACCTTCTCACTGTTGCTGCTGTGAGTTTTATTCTCCAATGTGGCTTATCTCTAGTTTCTTATACTTTCATTCAATTTGCAGTTGATAGATGAGAAAATACTGTGTGTACATGGTGGTCTGAGTCCTGATATAAAAACCTTAGATCAAATCAGAATATTGGAAAGGAATCAAGAAATTCCACACAAAGGTGCTTTCTGTGATTTGGTATGGTCTGACCCAGAAGAAGTAGATGCCTGGTACACATACAGAGAATTTAATAAAACAAAATTTCATTAATTATGACTTAATTTTCAGGGCAACTAGTCCAAGAGGAGCTGGTTATCTGTTTGGAGCAAAAGTGACCCATGATTTCATAAGAATAAATGCATTATCATTAATTTGCAGGGCTCATCAATTGGTGCATGAAGGTAATTTTAATAATATTAATTTCCACCTGTTATTCATTCTTCTGTTTTCAGGATATAAATATATGTTTGATGATAAACTTGTCACAGTTTGGTCAGCCCCTAACTATTGTTATAGATGTGGAAATATTGCAAGTATTTTGGAGTTCAGTACACCAGATAAGGCTGAGCCTAAGTTGTTTCATGCAGTTCCAGATACTGAAAGGGTTATACCAAGCAGAAATGTTACACCATACTTCTTGTAATCTAATCGAAAATATATTTTAATTGTCTTTTACAATGACGTTTTCATTGAACTTTTCTACCTCACCACTTAACAACATGGGAAACTTCATGAAATAACTCTCAAAAACATGATTTTTATTGGGGTTTGAGTGGATTTCAAGTATTAAAATGCTGTTAGAATCAATACCCTTACAACTGCCCTGTCATAGTTCCGGTTCCGACCTCTAATTATCTTGGTTGGTAGAACTGATGATTAGTTAGCAACATTGTGAATAATCAAGGTTGGTAGAGCTGATGATAATTCTCTACAAAATAATCATCAGTTCTACCAACCTTGTCGATGATACCATGTGGCGCCACCTATCAGTCAACGATAGAACTGGACTCAGTAGGGATCTATTGAGTTCAATGTCTATGGCGAGTAATTCTATCTCCCTGTATGCAAAGAAATGAACCTATCCTTTCGATATGTCATACAATGATGGAAGTAAGATATGGTGCGCGTATTCGGTCATTATTAGGTATTGGGAATTTCAGAAAAATCACTCGACCGCCTACTATGATTTCTCTACGTCAGAACGTTCGAGACGTTGATTCTACATTTCCCCGCTAGATGGTGATGCTGCTATTGCTGCTGTGACGAGTGGAAATAAAATGGCAAATGGCATTTTAGGTACGCGAAACATATGTAACAGTTGGATTATTCAACTCTGAATTCGAAAAATCTGCGACAATTTCAAAACTGACAGATGTCATAATAGTGCAATGTCGCCATCTATTAGAAGATCGACGGAACCATAGCTCTCGCTGTTGCTCGAGAGGATTACACCATATCTTATTTCCATCATTTGTCATACGAACCGAGATAAAATCGAATATATGTTTATTTAAAAATAGCGGATTCCGTTACACTCATACAACAAGATCGCAACCAGAATTCCAACGCCTACTCATCAGTTGATTTTCAACTGTCTGACATTTGAATAACAAAACAAAGGACGGCACAACTTAAAAATATACGCATTACAGTTCTGGAGTTTGAGATCTTTATAAATAAAATGTCTGACTAATTTTTTCGTACCTGTATACCTACATACTTACCACAAAATGATGAAACTATATACATTCATTAATATCATTAGAAAATAATTTTGAAAAATTCCTATGTTACCTAACTGAACAAAAATTGTTTATGAATAATAATTATACGAGGAACCCAGGGAACCCATCAATATTTCTGAACTAGACAGGTGAACTCATAACTTATTCAGTGCGTAAAAACATTTGACTGCCTATTTAAATGTTACAGCTTCATCTATCCAAGAGGGCCATATTATTGGTATATTAATATGTACTTACCAAGAGTGCGTCAGCGGCTAATAAGTTGCTAAAAAGCGGCTTCCTTCGATTTATATGAAGGAGGTCCACAGGACACATACTTGAATCCCATCCTAAACTCCTTATTGCTCTGTAATAACTGATGGAAAATATATCTTATTATATTTGTTTGCTCTGTTATATGTCTATATATTATTATTCGAATTTCACCTTATTTATTCATTTCCATGACTTTGAACCTCTCTTATCGGCTGATGAATGATGATGGGCTTATATTTAGGACTGAAACATATACCTAACCTTTTCGAATGATATTTGATAATTCCTATAATAAAAGTTGTGGAGATGACTTATTTGACTTTGGGTTTTGATCTATGGATAATTCAACATATGCATCCATTTTGAGTTACGATCATATGGACTTCTTCCAAAGGAAAATATATATTGGAAACTACGGTGCGTGTCCCATGAATATAGTATACCACCTTTTTTTTATTTGTTGACCGATTACAACTTTTTTCGCTCAATACGATATATTTACATCTACATTCCTCAGTTCTGAATCACCTCATTGCAATATATTACACAGCCATCATTGATGAATTAAAAGTGCAAAAAATTATCTAGTATTATCATTATTATCGACATCATGTGGAACTCCTGAAGCTCGTACCTATATAATATGTTTAAATTTTCTCAACATGCTGATGATGATGTGCTGATAGATATTAGTTTTTTTTCCTGAAAAAGTCCTGTTCTGGAATTGGTCAACGAACAAGAAGATACAAGGGTGGTCTGCTGCTCACACTTTATATATACCTGTGTCCTGTGTACAAGAAAAGGCTGTTTAATATTGTATTCAGTTTTTTTCTGCTCTACACGTATACCTATACAAAATGGAATGCTTGGAATTATTCTTATACAATCTGATGTGTGTCAAAGGCCTATTAAGTAAATAAATTTTGTACAGAAATAATTATTGTGTCGATTCACTCAAGATTCAAATTATAGTGATACCATGTAGATTGAAAATTCAATTCTACGATCACTGTGGAGTGCGTATAAATCATTTTCTTTACGTACGCTCATGATCTGATCAAGAAAACACGCATCCAAAAATAATCGTTCGACGACTGATATGTTCCCAGCTGGATTTTCAGTGTGCCAAATATCGCGTAGCAGTAAATAAAAAGCCCAATCAACTTGTTGGAGCATGAAAAAAAAAATAGTTTTGAGAATATCGACTCCAAATAATTCTAGTGAAGTTCTATATTTTCCTAATTCACGAGATGACGTATGTGTGAATTGTGTAATAGAGTGATATAATAGCGAATATTATACTACACGACAAGTATCGCTTACTTATTACAGTTAGGAGTGAACACCAGAAATCGAAAATTGCACAGTGGAAATTGCATTGTACGTATGTCAAGCACAATTTAATTGATGCTATCGTGAGAATCATGAAAAATAACGTCAATTTATAAATAGGTAAATATCAATTAAGTATCTGCTTAGTCTACGTGGATTACACTAGTGCATAAAGTCAATCAGATGATTTTGGTTTATTGATTAGTGATTTCACTTTCTTATTGCTTATTAAAAAGTGAATTCGTGCCTTTTTATATTTTTGCACCTTCGCCAAAACATGAAAATGAAAATTTAGAGGTTCTTTCGCCAAAAACTCAAATATCCCCCAAACATCATTTGATTTTACGGCTCTTATTAGTATTACTTCCAGAAATTTTTAGGGAGTGAAGAGATAACATAAATAACGTTGGTGCGGAATAATATTATTTATTATACAGGGTGATCAACTTGCAATAAACGATACCTACATTTCATTCGAGGGGTAAATCACGGCCAAAAAAATTGTACACCAAACTTCCCATGAGTCAAAACTTCCCAAACTTCCTCGAACTTCCTCGAACTTCCCCAAACTTCCTCGAACTTCCTCAAACTTCCTCGAACTTCCCCGAACTTCCTCAAACTTCCCCGAACTTCCTCAAACTTCCCAAACTTCCTCGAACTTCCCAAACTTCCTCGAACTTCCTCAAACTTCCCCGAACTTCCCAAACTTCCTCGAACTTCCCAAACTACCTCGAACTTCCTAAACTTCCCGAAACGTTTCAAACGTCACAAACCAAGTACTTATAAGCAATTTAGTATTGATAGATTCAAAATTTGTTCCTTTTCTTATGGTAGGTAGATATATATATAGGGTGGTCCGGTTTGTTATACAAAAAATTCAACAGTGTGGTGTTCTCGTTGAAATAATGAAATACTTTTATTACATTCATTATACATAATCTTCATTTCATCTCATAGAGCATGAAAAGCGAGGTGAAAAGTTTAGTATCTTGGGTAACTTTGTGGATTTATCTCAAACCGTTTCGAACTTTTCATCAAAAAACAATATTCAGACTCTAAAACACCCTATATATATCTCGAAAACGAAGCGTTTGAAAGTATATGTTTATATGATTTTTCGAATAATTTCAACCGAGTACAACACACTGTTGAATATGTACCTACGTATATGTATAGGTGGTTACCTAAACTTGAAAGTACTTTACTGGAAGGAATTTGAAACTGAATGTCATAGTATTAATCTACCGACAGAAATCAACAATCAAACTAATTATTACATATGCAATGCAGGTTTTCTGTACCACGAATTTTTAGGTATGTATAGGTACTATTGACTTATCCGAGGACAGCTTCTGTTGAAAGTTCCGAAATAATAATGAACTCTTTGAAATTATGTTTAATTTCTATAAAGGGTGTTTCAGAGTTGTGTTGACAAAAGCCTTGACAAGAGCCTCAAGCAATAACGAAAAATCCATAATTCTTTTAACTTGAACACCCTACCCCTCGCCCTACCCTGTATCTCGGAAACGAAGCATTTTCGGACCCATTTTCATATGAACTTGATTTCATAATTTGTTGAGAGGAATCTCCCCTAGGCTTTTTTCACCACAGCTCTATATATCCTGAGATAATAAGTTTCTTGCATTATCTAGCCAAAGATTTTTCCCGACCGTCTCCGCCCAAACGTTCACAGACATCCTACAGCTTGCTTGGTCTTTCGGAAACTTCCCAAACATCCTCGAACCTCCAAAACTACCTGAACATCACGAAATGTTTCAGACTCCGCCGAACTTCCCAAACTTCCCCAAATCACCCAAACTTCCTCGAACTCCCCAAAACTTCCTCTAACTTCCCAAAACTTCCTCGAACTTCCCAAACTTCCTCGAACTTTCTTGTGTCTGTACACTAAACTTCCCACGTGATTTACCCCTCGATTTCATTCATTTCATATTATAATGCTTCATTTTCTGATAAATGGGATGTTCAAAACAATCTGTTGTATTTTCAATTGTTCAAACTAATGAAAATATGAAACTCAGAAAAACCAGAAGCGTTATTGTCTTTTTTATCGCTTGATGCGCCCGAAAGGGAATTAGTGGAATTAGTATATCAAATCGAATTATACCAAAAGGAACTTCATGTTACTATTGACAAAACCACCAAGTTACATTGAAATTGACAAAAAGACTTTCGAGTAATTATTGATAAAATAACGTTTGTATCTCGAAAATGAAAGCAGATTAGGACGAATGTTTTTTCATTGAATATGTTTTTCGCACTTATTCAATAACAATTTACAACCCTGTATTTTTACAACCCAGTTATCACCTCTGTGATGAATTT